GGGCAGCACAGTGGGGAGTGAACTGGCTGCCCATATTTAATATCTGCATTTGGATTCACATTGGCAGTATTCTACCTGCAGAACAGTACAAGCTGTCCTTTGTCTGAGTTGTTTTAAAAAGCGAGTAGTAGGGGTTCCAAAAAGTACAGTGTTACATGTAAACAGGTATTACTACAAGTGTTGACGTGTTCTGTTCCAGAATGTCCTCTAGCATTCAGTAGAGAAGGAGTTTAACCTTCACAAAGTCACAAAGCTCACTCATGGCTATTGTACAGACTCTGTTCTCATAACCCTGATGCAACAGAAGGGCCAGATGGAAGCTGGCATCACCAAAGCCAGAGCAGCAAATATACAATTCGGAATTATAAGTCATGAAGAGTGAATCATTGCGAACACAATGTTCATTTTGTCCTAAAGAAATGAAGCCTTTACTGTAACAGTGTATGTCAGGGAGGCACGTTTGAAGGAGGAAGGATGGGTTTCTCAACACAAAACATAGAGGGCTCCCTTATATAACTCTAGGCACCGACAGCACTTCATACTGTATGTTCATTTTATGTCATTTTTGTCTATTACTGTATGTTTTTCCAGCTGGTTTTGTGTAGTCAACATTTCACAATCTCAGCTTTAAAACAAGAGAAATGTTTGACTTTTAGATGCATTTTGCCATCGGGTATATATATAGAATGTGCATTGCCTTTCAGTGACATTTTGTCTTCCTTTAACTCATAGTTTGATTTGAAGTATTTAAGGACTTTCAGTCACATGCAATACTTTTCTAATGGGAAACTGGCAGTACATCAAAGCATATAACTACAGAAACTAACTGGCAAGCTGAGGTAACAGGGTGAGTTGTTTGTTTAAAAATACAAAACAGAGACAATTTTCGTGTAGGATTTTATGTATGGCAAAAAGGAATTGATGCTTTAGTTCAACCTTGTTAAAACAATTTTGAGATTTCTCAAGACATGTAAGTCTTCCTCCCAAACATTCAATTTAAACTCCATTTTTGGAAAATATTCTCGTTCTCTTGTTGTTGACTTGACAGCCAATGTGCACTAGAGCATAAGGGTTACTAATAAAGCCAAGTCCTTTCATCTTATCTTATCCAAATAGAATACCTGCGAAACATGTAATCAAATCTAGTCAGATTTTATTTAAATTCAGAGAAGAAATTTGCAGTCCATAGCAAATTCATTTTGTTTGCATCCATCTGTGACCACTGTGACCACTGACTCTGCAGGATGAAAGTACAGTAAATTTCAAACTCTCAAATCACAAGGAGGTTCTGATGGACCAAAACCAAACTTGGTCAAATTCAATGTCATTAAGTTAAAAAGGCAAAAACTTTTCACAGTTTTAATACAGAACTCACTTCAGCATTGATATTAATACAGCTCTTTCTCAGCTAATTACACAGCACATCAAAAGGAGTGTAGAGATATGAAAAGGAGATGTCATTTTTTGTATTCTGTGTAATGCTTCTAGGGATAAAGGTTTGTTCCATATTGTTTGTAGAAGAAGAAATAATGGAATATAATAGATTTATTTAAAATTACAAAGACATTTTTTCAAATCAAGATATATAAAGGTCCATTGTTTTCTACTAAAATAATAGACGCCCTAGAAACTGAGAAAGTTGATAAAGAAATAATTAATTGAAGTAATTAAGGATCGTGGTGCCTCAGGCAGGCCTACTGAATTCTGCTTTTGAATTTGAAACAAAGGAGATCTTTAATGTGCCAGTTTATGAAAGCTCTTCCTAATGGTGATGGTGTCATAATTGTCGTTTACTGCAAAGTTGTTGTCTTCTTAACTTTTATGGAAAGTATTTTAAATTGAAGATCCTGGCTGTAGCTCTTCTTGAAGGACCTCAATAATGCAGTTGTTTTAAGACTTTTTAAATAACTAACATCTTTAGACCTGGGGTTAGAGTATTAAACTGGTATAATTATATTATGTGTTTAAAGCATGAGGAAAACTGTCAATTAAAGATTCCTAGAAATCCAGGACTAAAACGTTCAGTTTTTAAATAAATAGTGGGATTCTGAAGAGCAAGAGGTGCTTTGTTCCTTCTCAGTTGTTCACTAAGAATCAGCACAATGCATCATCAGAGTACAGAAAAATGTATAGCAAAATTCTAAGAATCATAAAAGAAAAAAAGGTTAGTAAGTTGAAAATTTGTAGTGACACGACGGGGGCACTGTTCTGGAATTCTTGCATTTAGCATTTTTGTAATGAAATGGTCTTGATCATGAATTTGCAAGTGTAAAAGCATAATTAAAATACTCAATCTACTGTACAGCTGCTTGTGTCATAGGAGCTTTCATGTCATTTCTTTCATAATCTGTGTTCAAGGACTCTTACAGTACTTCCTTTCTATGACCTGGAAAGGGGGAGGATAGTGTGTTAGTCTGTTTTATGCTCATACTGGGGCTTTTTAAGGCAAGATCCAAATAAACCAATCTCATCTACTGCCTTGGGAAATAAATTTTAATAATTTGGGCTCCTCTAGGTGTCGACATAGTGACGCAAGTATTCCATATCAAGAAAATGACACCCACCAACAATGCAAGCTCTGTCCCCGATAGAATCATTTGAACACATTTGGAAAAAATCCCGTTAACCTCCTGCAGGAAAAGTACGTCATCCTAATCCATATTTTATTGTGTTGTGCAAAGCAAATATAATAAAGCTAGTGCATAAAAGAACACTCAGAAAAGGTCATTTTTGTGAAGCTTATATTTTGAAAGTATAAATACTTGAACACTAGATTTTGTGATTTCCATGTAGTTGTTTTTTCCTGCCACATTAACAGTATCATGCATTTCAGTTTAAATATTTGTTGGGTTTCACGACTGATGACATTTTGTTCTTAGTGTAAGTTTTGTTTCTAATACATTTACACATGTACATTAATACATTAGCAGTTACAAAAACAGCATAACAGCATAATCTCTGAGCTGGGAGTACCAGGATTCAAACTCTGGAAGATAACTCCTAAAATTGTCTGTCAAACATACTAAAGAAAATGAGAAGCCAGGGAAAGGTAGATGGAACACAAGAACAATGTGCAGTCTCCATACAGACTACTGTAGTACCCAAGGCCAAAAGCCAGTTAACCTTGCCCTAGAGCTATGGAGCAGTATCACTATCTAGCATGTTGCCATGCTGTATTGTGCTCACTCTTCCTCAAGAACGAATCGGCAGCTCCCAGGGAATTAAAGAGACACTAATTGCACACTAAATAGTCGTGCTTTATGCACTTCAAAGACCGACTGAAATCTGTTTTTTTTTTCCCATCTACTTTTCTGTTTTTGCATAGAATACATTGTAGAGAGGGAGGACTTTATTTGCCATATATACATCTACATTGGGATTTGTATTCACGCTGTTTGTCCGAGACTTGCAAAGTATAATAGACAACGCTTTCCCACAATCTGCTCAGTACATCAATACTGACAGTACAACAAAGCACAATGACACAGAACAATAAATATCCATTGGATTGGAGAGCTTATTGGTTATGGATTTATTAGCAAGTGATTGCTATGCCCCAGTATGGTCCTCATGTCTAGTGACACTCTATTCAAAATATGTCTAACGTCTGTGAGGAAGGACAGCAAATGTCAAGTAGCCTCTTGCTTGCCTTCCAGATAAAGACTAAGAGTGAGAGATTCAGATGCAAAGCATTAGCATTTTAATTAAAAATGCCATTGTTTGTAGGATAAGTGGCACTCACTGCATTGCTAAGACCCTCACACTTGAGCAAAGGAAGGAAATGGCTCATAGTGGGGAGTCTGCAAGTGAGACCATTAAACTCTGTACCGTTCAGAACCTGAGCCCAGGCTGCCTTCTGTACCAGGCTCTCAAGGCTAGTCTAGGGACAACCAGCATTTGTGGGCTCCTTGCTAATTCACAACCAGGGCATTCCCAATAACAAGTAAGCAGCATGAACTGATACCAGATCCCGAAATGCAAACAGTTTACATAGCAGCAAATTAAGTCTCGTTTCAAAAGCAGAACTAAAGAGTAATGATAAAAGACTCATTGTGTTTTCAATAGCCCTTGTATTCTGCTTAGTTTAGTCCACACTCTAGGGAAGTAAAGCATGTCACACAGACTTTATACAGGTGCACAAACATCTTACATCAAGCCTAAAAATGTAATTCATGTAATTAAGATCGTTTTGTATCCCTCTTGTGATAGCTACTGAATGAGCTCTATTTGTGCCTATTGTTTTCTATTGAATGTGTATAGGTGACTAAGGTTTTTAGTATTGAATTTAGTATTGAATTTAAGACACAAAAAGTCAGTAAACAGAAGTAAAACAAAATAATTTCAGAATGTCCATTAAGTGGTTGATCTGATGCAGATTTCTTGACACTTTTTAAATGCAGTCACTTTTTATGTTAAAACAGGAATATGGACCTTGTACAGTACGTAGTTCTTCATAACTGTAAATATTGCTCTTCTGTATATCGAGTTGTTGGTTATTTCCATATAATCTACGAAATCGTGATAATCGTGAAAATTAAAATTAATTTTAAGATGATTCTGAGCAACACAGAGGAAAAAAAAAAATCACAATAACCTAGAGTTGAATTTAGTGTAGTGAGGATGAATGTGAAAATTGGATCGTTTTTCACAGAACTAAACATTTGTTATTGTCTTTATAATATGAAGATGAAAGAAAGGCCTGAAAGATTTTGGATCTGCAGTAGTGAGGTTGGCAATTGCTGCCAGGTACTGTATATACAGTAATCCTGCTTTTTCATGTACCTTTGTTACCATTCAGCCTACTGTAAGACCTGATTACTGCCTGCAGCACACAATTTCACAGGACTTTAAAGTTCTGTGTGCTGCATTCAGTTCTTTAACAGTCATTTCTTATTTCAGATATGATGATCCTGCAGCATTTTTCCTTTCAAAGTGAGTGGAGACATGATGGAGAAGATCCGGCTGTTTTGCTTTTGCCTCACTACCAGTTGAAGGTATGAATAAAGAATGAGAGACTGCCTTCTGAACTAAGCAGTTTTTTCCCTTTTAGCAGTCACTTGTTGGAGGCCGGGGTGATCAGACTGATGAAGCTCAAGGAATTAATTTAATCTGCTAGATCAACAACTTCCTCTTCAAATGTGCACATTGTTGGATCTGAGTTACCTCCTGAATTAATTCTCTAGAGATAGGCTTAGAAGTGTTGCTAGGGGGAGAGGGGTTTTTAATTAATGCTACACTTGCTGGTCTTGGAGCAGAGCAGGACAATTAAAGAAAATAATAATGATGAACTGCGCACGAGCAGAGATGGATGCTTTGAAGGTTACCTCCATCTTCATGTAATTGTGAAGCTGTGATCCGAACGAGATGTAGACCAGCTTCATTAACGAGAACAAATTATCCAGGTTTGCCAATTTAAAAGTCAGTCACAGCCATCCATTTTCTAACTGCTTTATCACTTATGCTTATGTCACGAGGCAGAATACACCATGGATGGGACACCAGTCCTTCACACAAGTCCATCATGTTTTTATTCCAATTGTTTTGTCTTCTAAAATGATTTGTGGCAAAAGAAGTTATTATCACACATCCTGTGTTTATTTTGGGGGGGAATATAAACATTTAACTGTGAAGACAACAACAAAAATGGGGCACTATTTGTGTGCCAGGAAAATGAATGCAAGCAGTCTTAATGGACCATTGCACTGCTAAATAAAATGTTGTTGAATGTTCCATCTTAATGCTTCCACCCAGCTGAATGCCTCGATGACAAGCTTGTCATTATTCTCGGTCCTGCAGTTTTAGTGGTACTAAAGAATGTGCAAAATAGCTATGAAAAACTGCAGCATTTAACTACCAAGTACTCAGCTGTGCGTGGACAAACCTGAGAAGAGAGCAGCCAATTTTCAAACGAATAAACCAGTTGTGTACCTGCAGTATGTAAATACACACTAATTGAGTGGGAAGGACATGTTAAAGGACATTGAGTTCTCTGATTTTTTTTAATCCTCTTGTTTTCCTGTGAGCCCTTTTAACTTAGGACCAGCACCCACCCCCTGTAAAGCGTAAGTGAACAACCAAGCTCAACATCTGCAGTACGTCTGGTGAGACCGAACCTGTCTTCTGAGGTTTCTGAAGCTGCTGTTAGAAAAGTACCACGTGCGATTTGGCCTGGAGGTCTCATTCAGTTCTGTACATGATAGAAAGGTACTTGGTAATTATGACTAATTGCTCTGATAAGCAGGGATCCACACAGTTAAGAAACTTTGTTTCTTGCAAAGTGTGTAGATTTTGTTTTGTGGAGGGGAGTGTAATATTTTGTAATGTCGGTATTTTTGGTGTGGTCAAGGTAGGGATGTGAATTTAAAGATTTGTGTACTGCTAAATTGCATAGCTCAATATAGAAATGATGGTATACTCCATATAATATATTTATAAACATTTAAAATTTAAATTTGTATATCCTTTGTCAATATTCAGCTGACACGGGGATATGTATATGGACAAAGGGACTAATCCTAAATATTTTAAATATTTCACGAGAATAATTTGTAAAGTGCTGTAACTACCATCAGAACAGAAAATCTCATTTTGTACATTTTTTCTAAGCTCTAGTATAGTGTTACTTGTTATTTTTGGTCTCTCGATTTTAGCCGTGGGCTGACGTAAATCCAGTTCTTTTTGTTTCCAGCAGTGTAAGGTGTTGATTTGTAAAACTCCATCTCGATCAGATATTGACAATTTAAACATGAGAAAAAATTGTCATTTTAACGCCTTCATTTCTATTATATTGATAGATTTTCTACTGCTACAGCTCTACAGCAAGGTTTACATTATCTTCCATTGTGTAAAGACCACAGACACTTAATTAATCTGTTTTCTTGTATAACTTTTCATGTAGCTTTGTAGTGACAATGTATAGTTACAAATAGATGACAGAGAATGCATTTTTACCAAGGACAATTTGCTTACATAGCAGAAAATTTAAGTCTACTGAAATTACATACTGAATATTCAGGTAAGTACTACCAGTAAATCTTTAGTTATCATGAGTGGCAGCAGTAAAATTGGTACTATTCTTGTTATTACTGTGATCATTTTTTTCCCATGTTCATATATAACTATATATTCCAAGCTGAGTTTGAATGATAATTGCTATCCAGTAATTGTTTCAGTCTCCTGTCTTCTTAAGGCACTGTGAGAGTGGTCAGAATGAGAGACTGTGGTAAGGTATTACAGAGCATTCTCCGTCTTCATCTTTTCCTAGCAGGTGAGAATTATTGTTATTTATCACCTAAGGAAGTGTCAGAAAATGCTTTTAATTGATACAGAGCAGAAAACTAGCAATACAGTATAGTATTACAACTCTGTCACTCTAGTATGAAAGAGACTGGTTGTTATTTTTGTCTGTGTGAAATAGCCCAGTTTTCATTAAAATTATGTAACTGATCAAACATTTCCCTACCTTAAGATGTGCATTTTGCTTTTTTTTTTTGTCTGGTATCTTGTTGTTTACCTTGATTTCCAATCAGTTTTTCTTAAAACAGGGTTGTATTTTTAAATGGAGAACTTTCAAAATAAATTTGATAATCTTCTTAAAGAATATTTAATATTAACAAATTAAACCCCCCTCATTATGAGGCTCCTGCATATAATGTGTGATTATAGAACATTTAAGCACAAATTAAACATTTGAAAATTCACAGGCCATAAATTACTTTTGACAATACCAAATGTCTTAAGTTTAAACATGTTTAAACTTATGTAAAATTAACTGTAAATATTCTGTATCATCTAGATATGCCCTTCAAATATGCATATTATCACATCTGGGCTACACACCTCCTTAATTAAGTAATAGATTGGGTTAGAGGTGTAACTGTGGGAATAAAAGGTTTAATATAATGTTAAATTCAGCAAATTAAGCTAATTTATAGGCAGATTGGGATATTTGCAGAAAATAAATTGAAGAAAGTTTATTTGAAGTGATCATTACAGTAGGAATAATTTAAGCAATTATTAATCACCTAATAATTATTACGCCATTCTAAAGCTCTTTTAAAATATGTTTTGAAGAATGTTGTATGATTTAAATTACTTCCCTGTCTCCTAGTGCTTTTTCAGTCCAGTTCTCAGTGTGACACAAGAAGATGTTTGGCCACCAGTCTAGTGCAAAGAAATGGAGACATATCCATTCAACCAGAGACCAAGGACTGTAAAGTCAATGTGTTTTTGAAGGACATCACATTTGAAACTCTAGAAGTGGCAAGTGTCAAAATATTCAATTTCCTTATGTGTATTTGTGCTTCCTGAGCCGTTTGTCATTCATATACCCAGGGTTATGTTCAAAATGTGAACATAAGTAAACAGACATCGAAGTACAGCGGTTTATTTTGGCTGGATATGCAATGGGAACTTCAAACCAGGTATAGCACAAATCTGACCCTTTAATGTGGTGGATTTATATACTTTTGAGATCCCAGTGGACTGACATGCATGTAAAAGGCTTGCTGTACACACATTTCTCAATACTGTATCATATGAATTATCAACAACCAGTTTGTTTTAGTGTTGTCCTTTGGCTTCTACAAAGCAGTACAGTAAAACATAAACATGTCAAAAAATAATTTAGCTTAAATCTGCATTTGTGTTTGATTGTATTTCATTTGTTTCTGACTTTTTCTCCCCAGAATACACAGAATCTGTATTTTTCAAGCCTGCTAAGAATAAACATGGTGAGTCCGATTCAGATTTAATTATGTTTATTAGAAAAATATTTCAATTTATTATCTGTCCTTTTCTATATTTCTTTCAGATACATTTCTGTCTCTTTTCATTATTTTTTCCATTAGAAAATGTTGGAAAAAGTCAATAGAGTATTTCTTTGTACCTTTAATGGAGAGGTGAATGGTTAATTGAAATTCCATCAGGTTTTTAACTTCTTAAAAAAATGAAGTGACATTTTTTAGATATTTGTCATGGACGTCCAAAGGGACTAACCGTGGAGAGCAGGAGAGCGGAAAAAGACCCATATGCGTGGTGGCAGAACGGGAGAAAGGCCCGGGCTCAGCAGGTCAGGAGTCCGATAGAAACCAATGCCCTCAGGCAGCAGACGTGGGGCGACCTGGGTGGTTAGGCGGGTTTCAGGACAGCCGAACGTCAATGCTGACCCAAGGGAAATATAGCCCAAGGGAAAGAGAGGGACTGGAAGGACAGCAGACAGGAAACTAGGGACAGGACAGAGTAGGAGCGCCCCCTGGCTGCAGAGGGCGTGACAATATTACCCAATTTTGAATCGCCGATTATTTAATACTCAGTTTTGTGCAGCAATGACTCTCGTAAGCCCGTGTAGAAAGAATAAGGACCTGCAGACATGTTCATTTGTCACTCCCACCTGTCAGTCACTCTGCATACTGTTATTCTATCCATGTACCACAGTTCCCAACAGGAGAGTTAGCAGTGACTGGAGGCAGTGTATCACTGACACACTGCAAACCTGTAGGCAACCAAAGACTCACAGATGCCACTGTTGCACTGAGAACTGAGGGGAGCCCTAGCAGAGCTCATCTTGTGAATCCCAGTTATAGCTACTAGCAATATGCCCCAGGTTCGAACCAGTGCCAACACAGCCTAGGACACTCGGCAATTAGTGATGTTGTCTGGCTGTAATTAATGACCTTCACATTTTCAAACTAGGAGTTTAATAATGAGCCCAACGCAGCTTTCGAATGTCCTTTTTTACATTCCTTCCCAATGACATTGAGAGCCGGACATACACAGGAATATTTCAGATTGCGGATTTCCTCATGTTTAAAACCGTTCACTTTCGAGGATTGTGTGTTATTCTGCCAATGTCTTGTATTGTCTTGGTTGTTATTTTAATTGTAAAGCACGTTGAGAATCTTGTCACATGAAAGGGACTTCAATCAGAATATAAGAAATATAAGAACATAAAAAACTTGCAAAAGAGAGGAGGGTATGAGGCACATTTTACACATTAGTACTTTAAAATTGTATCCAAATACGTCTAAGGTGCCCAGAGTTCTAACTAGGAAGCTTGTTCCAGATACCCACATCTCTTTGTGTAAAGAAGCATTCCAATTCTACTTTTCAAGCTTAATTCTCTTTTAGCTTTTAGCTCTGACCCTGGGCTAATCCTGTCTGTACTCCTTAGGATTGTACTTGTATACACATGAATCAAATCTCCACTCCTGTGCTCTCGACTGAAGAGACTTATCTTAGGCTTATAGTTTTTTAAGTTAGATGGTGACCAAAATTGCATGCAGATCTGCCAGTGAGGACTTAAAGATAAATCCTATTGAGTTTATTTTTCTTACATTGCTTCCACAACATAGAAAAATCTACATAAAACCCCACAACCCTTCCATGTGTACCTTCCTGCAGCTCCAAATCACCCTGTGATATATATAGCACACTGTATAATCTAACTACTAGTATGGCTTTCTTCGCTCTTAGTTATGTTGAATTTCATTTGTCTTTTGTTTTTCCAGTCTATGATACTGTATTTTTAGTTCCTTTGCCACATTATCTGATCACTTTTTCCACTATTTGTATATCTTCTGCAAACCTCACTAGTTTTCTTCAGGTATAATCAGGTATATTCATCAAGAAAAGTCTAATTATTTTTTTACTACTACTATAGTATATATAGAGTAGCTCCTGAAATCACTGTGATCCGAAAGGTGTTTGCGATTCCAGGTCTGGAATGATTCATCTCTTTCCTGGGACTCCACATACCCCTATGAGGAGGTTGTGCTGCCAGTGAGTGATGTCTGGATTCCTAGTCTCTCTGTGAAAAATGCGTGAGTCTCTCAAAGCTTTTGTTGTTGTGTTGTTGTTTTTTGTTTAAGTAGTCAGTAGGTGACAAAGGGCGTTTTCATCCATTGTTCTAATTTCTAATGTTGTATCCATTTCTTCTATGTCAAAACTGGCTTACATATATTGACACATATACTGAACATTTCCACCCGTTTTGAATTAGTGCTTGTGTGTTCCAAACGTTTTTCATTCTTGTAAATAATGCTCTTTTTGCAAATTACTTTTGCAAAGCTATGACTGCTTTAGGAGCAGCTACTGTAGTAGGAGACAGCTGGCTTTATAAAATTCTGTTGCCTTGGAAGGTGAAGGAAAGCTTATTATTATATGGTTGGTAATTTGATTTAGGGTTTTTTTCCAAAATAGTTTCCCTAATTTTTAAAACATTTTTCACTTTTCAGGCTGAAAGTGGAAACACAGCCTGAATCGTCTCACTTACTGGTCTTCAGAAATGGCACTGTGTACCACAAAGAACTGATGTGGATTACAGTTGGATGTGATTTCAACCTGTACCTCTATCCCTTTACAAATGACTGGTGTGTCATCGCTCTTGATGGCTGGAATTCAGAGGGTGAGGAAGGAAGCAGCTCTCCTGTCTATTTCCCAACCTTCTGCTTTTTCTGCTTTTCTTTCTGCTTTTTCTGAAGCTACATCAGAACTCTATTCAGAACTGTGATGGCAAAACAAAGGGAATTTTCCTTCTCATTGCTTTTCCTGGCATGTTCATGCCTAAACATGAGATGAAAAAGATTTTTTTGGTTGTGGAGCTTTCCTCACCTGTGTAAAGCCTGGTGCTGTGTCCCATTTTTTCTGCATGAGTCTGTTCCTGGGGAAATCTCAGAATTTAACTAAGGCAGCCATCATTACTAAAATCTGACCCATCAGACATAATTCACTCCAAAGTAAATGAGTGTTGCCTTTATCTGCTAGATGTGTCTTGTGGATCAAAGGGATATACTGTACGAAGAGGTATAAAACCACATGACTTACAGACAAGGATGTTTTCATGGGCTGCAATTTGCGGGTGCACTATGTATGGCTCACAGGCAGTGATTGCATTGCATGAGTTTGGATGACGGTAATGGATACAGAAATCTTTGTTGCACAGGACTCCATTTTAGCCAACCTTTCACTTACAGGTCAGTTTTTTCATGTGTAGAGAGACTAAAAAGCAGAATTAGTAGTGAGCTAACTCCTCCTTTGTGCACATAATCTTGCAACTGAGTAAATGATGTTGTGTGCCCACACTGAAAGCAAGTCAGCCCTTTGTTGTGTGGGTAAGCAAAGCAGGCACAGCAGTAAACCGTGTGTCTCATGTTTCCCCATGATGTCCTGTGTTGGCTTTGCTCCTCACTCTCTGATTTTACATTTGCTTCCCTATGGTTTTATTCCCTCATACAATCTATCAACACAGGACATTTCAATTGGACAATAAGGCTGTAAAAGTGATGAGTGTGGTTCACAGATTTATAACTAACTCCAGATGACAGAAAACATTTAACATGCCACATGGCCCCTTCAAATGAAATTGGGAATTAAAATGGTGTATTTGACAGATCTCCAGTCACCCTTCAGTGATGTGAATTTTTTTTCTCAGGCTGTGGTGAAAAGGTGACATTTGGAAGAATCAGCTTGATCGGTAAAACAAGAGGAGACTGGAGAGCTGTGGATGTCAGAAAGGATGAAGTGAGAAACGCTTCTGTCTTTCTGGTAAATCCTGTCTTCACATTCTACCCATATGTATAGGAGATAAGAAGCTCTATCCCATCAAATCAAATTGAGAACTGTTGCTGACAGCTACCAGTTTTGACAATTTTTCACCTATTTCCATCAAGCCCACTGTGTGCTCTTCTGCACGTCCACCATTTCTCAACTGCCTCCTCTCCTTGTCCACCTCAGGTCTCCCTGTCTACACGGGGCTTCAATGTGATTGTGAGTTTGATCATACCCACTTTTCTCATCATGCTGGCCGACATAGTGAGCTTCATTCTACCTCTGGTTGAAGGGGAGCGCATCTCCTTCAAAGTCACGCTGGTCCTTGGCTTCGTCATGTTCCTCCTCATCCTCTCCGACATGCTCCCTGGTACAAGCCAGTGTGCGCCTCTGATCCGTGAGTAGACAAGCCATCACTGGATGAGCAAAACCTATTTGGCAGTTTAGTGCAAACAAGCATCTACAGTATGAACTGCTTGAATTGGAACACCTTCTCCATTGTGTACTCAGTATGCAATAGCAAAGTCTGTCCTTAATAAGGATCATGTACCCAAACCCTCCCTTTTCTCTTTAGGGGATGAATAACACACACAGCAGAGCCTGACCTAAACACAGGCCAGTGCTGAAAAGAAAACATAAGCAAGCCAAAGCTGTTTGCTCATGTTTGCCATTTTGAAGTATGAAGTACTACGTTCACTTGATTCCAGCAGATAAAGCTTCACAGACAGAAAAGAGTATTTCTTAATCTGTAGATCATGTATTATAATATTGGAAAATAACAAGTGGGTTGCCGGCAAGATCACAGAACCCAGCAGATACCTAAATATCCTTCCATTGCTTGATCTGGAACACCTGCTCCATTGTGAAAGATATGCAAAGCAGTATCTTTAAATAAAGAAACAAAAAAAATTAACAAAACACGTTCTGTATCTGTATGTACAATGTGTTTTATCTGAGACAGCACTGTTTTTTTTGTTCTCCCATTTTGTGAGAATGCTTGATCTTGATACATTGTGTACTGTTGGTCTGACTCACAAGAATACCTCCATGGATAGGACCGTAAGCTAAAGATTCCACTCTACAAGCTAGATGTTACTACATCATGCCTAAAAATGGATCTTTATTTAATCCTTACTTAATTAACTTTAACACCTTACATAGTCATGAATCATAATATAAGCAATAGAAGTTTAGGAGGGCTTTGGGAACAAGATACACATTCTGTGATATCACACACGACAGACAGGTGTGCTTCCCTCTGTTGTCCTAGGTTATCACTTCTGCGTGTGCCTCTTTTTCCTGGTGCTCAGTATGATCGAGTCAATGGTGGTCACACAACTGGCAGTGGGTGGCTCACTCTTCTCCTTTCACGCAAGTGGGTGCAGCATATTCAGGGACACAAATGCAAAATCCAGAAGAGAATCCCAGGACAATAAAAATGAAATGCAAGGTAAAGTCAGGAATTTCTTTGATCATTAAGGTTTGCCAACAACCACACAATGGCCAAAAAATATGAAGAGGCTTAGCTTCTTTTTTTTTAGTCCCTTGCTTGGATTTTGCTGATGTGCATTGTATGCAAGAAGAGAAGACCCCAATAGTGACATTTTGCACCAAAAACCGGAAGCAGTTTAGTATACGATTATGCTGTTTCTCTTTCCTGTTGTATACAAAAAGATTATGCAGATGAGGATAGCTTAAGGGAAGCTAAAGCTTATAACGTCTATAGAACAAATAGCATAGAAATTGCTTTTGATGGGAGATTAATTATCTTATCGATAGGAAAAATAATTATAATAATAATAATAATAATAATAATACATTGGTCATGAAGCCAAATAATCACTATTGTGTGAAAAATAAAATGGCAATGTTTATTACAGAATTCTGATAAAGAAACTTAACTGCAAAATACTTAGCTTTTCCTAGGCTGTGTTAAGGAGAGAGGGGTGTTTATTTTGTTTTTAAGGCTATGGTCCTGAACTGCTTCGCTGCGTTACTGAACCCCATCTGGATAATCGTTCGCTGCAAAGGATCGTCAAAGTCCTTGAAAACATGCAGGAGAAAGAGCAGGACACACAGAATTCAAAGTGCTTTGCCAACAAGGTGGATAAAATCTGTTTTTTTGTTTACTTGGGCTCCTTTATCCTATACGTAGTAGTAATGCTCTACTTTATTTGTGACGTTCCCTGTGAAATAAACCACTTTGACTTCTAGCTTCTTGTAGTCCGATACAAAAACACCTATTTTCACTCAGGCAATGGAAACTTCCTGATACATCTATTTTGACTCAGGAATTATCGTAGGAGCCCATATGGTAAATTACAACATTAGATTCTGTTCTTTTCTCACATAACTGGACAAAAGCTGTTTGTCTGAATATAGAAACTCTAGTAACAAAATTGTAAAACTGAAGACCACATTTGTTGAACCCCATAACCGTGTTTAAGAGAAGCCTTAATTATTCACCATTCTTTTGTATAATCCTTGTTATTCCATTGCTAATTATGCAAACAAAAAATTGCTATATGGTAGATCAAGCTTTTACACAGAAAAGGTTTTGGAGTCTTTTTAATTGATCCTTACGAGTGCCACAAAAAAAGAGGGTGATATATACACTTATTTTTACAAAACAAACCATGGCATTCAACACACGTTTAGTGTCTCAAGAGAAGCAGGAATCTGAGCTGCACAGGACTGCAAAAGGAACAATGATGTGGGCAGAGCTGGGGTTTATGCCGATGTGTCGAACAGTTTCTCTATCATCTCTTCCACTTGCTCGGGTTTGTATTTGTGGTACTTCTCTGGGTTTTTCGTGAATGCAATGTTAGCATATCTGTGTAGAGAACAGAAAATAATGATTTTATAAAAGTTACTTGATACACAGACGGTATCCTAATAAACTAAAACATGCATTTATGTTGTAGTAGTATTGTCCTGTTTGTGTGAAATGAAAAATATCCATAGTTTTAGCAGATATTTGAAAATAAACCTTTCTGATTGCTTATTAGATGAGATCCTAATAATCTGTGAATTATTATGTAAAGACTAAGTTAATTATTTTGTACTCTGAATTAGTATTCATTTTAATCATTCATTTTCAGGGATGTGGTTTACAGTGCACAATTGTAAACATGATGTTTGCATTGATATAATTAGTGGCCACACTGGATTTAAATACAATGGTGGAGATTAGGTGGTACAATGCTCAAGATTAAGTGCTAGTTATTGCACTGATTGAAGTCCTGGTTAAAGTCTGTACTCTGCTACTATGTTGCTATGTGCAGGCAAGTTAATTAACGTACTGTGTTCTGTTCATTGAAAGAAAAAAAAATATTTGGTTCAAACCCTGTCTTCTGTAAATTGATTTGATTGAAAGTATCAGTTCCTATATTAATTTACCTGCATCATTCTGCTTTTATAATGCACATTACTTTGCACTTCCCGTTTAGAGATGAGCAGAACAGACCCACAGTATTACCTCTGCAAGAAAGTTTTGTAGGCCTCTGACACCATCCTTTTCTGTGCCTGTCGAATAGCATCTCTCTGCTCTTTATCAGGAATGGCCCAGATCTTCTGGATTTTACACAACTCCTCCAAACCATCATTAAACCCCTAGAAACCAAGCAACCAGTGATTAAGAGAGTGATAATTTCTGAGTTTCCAGTGACTCACTTGTGAAATGCCCGTTACAAAACACAGAAGTCAGACAAGCCTAGGTTAACAGCTGATGATTGTCAAGTGTATACAAAGATTAACATATTCACGTTTAAAAACACATCAAACAGCAAAAATATGTTTTATGAGCCTTACCAATTTACAGGCACCATAAAAAATAAAATACAACAAGCTCACCTTAAATTTGTCTTTAATCATCTGACGTTCTTTATCTTTCAGCTAGAGGAAGAAAACAGTGATAATGAGAACATTTTATAAGAGTAACACAGACCAGGATAGCTAATCACAAATAATCAGAATACCTTCTCATGCCATCTTGTAATAGGGCATACCAGTTAATCATAAACCTCCACATCAGGATATCAGGGAAAAACCTAACTTATAACACTGCACCTCCCCCTGCTGTACAACATCAGTAGTGCCTGAATAATATATTACAATATTCCAACCCGCAAGCACCAAAGACAACACAGGAGTGAGACTTTCAGCAACACTGAAAATATATAATGGGACAACAACAAAGAAACAGTTGGCGATGCCACTAGGTACTGATTCAAACAAAAAAAAATGTAAAAACATGCTTTCAACTACATTCAGGAAACGCAATGTTTCAGTGCATGAAGCATCGGATGTAAATTTACCTTAGCACCAGGCTGAAAAACAGGAATATTCCGGTCTGTCAGGTTCTCAATTACTTTCAGCCAGCTGGAAAACAGAACGGGTCCAACGTGAACTCCATTATTACCTTCACTAGTATAAATAATAATTCCCCATCTTGAGAAGGGTGGATTTAGTACAGGGTTAGTCCATCCTGGCATCCTGGATTCTAGGCCATTACAGGACTTTGAACTTTCCAGTAAGTGATATTAAATTGAGCTTTAATTATTTAATTCAAGTGATGTAGACAGACATGATAATTAAGGACTACCTGGACTTGCAATGGCATGGAATCATGACTATTCCCGATTAAAACTTAATAAATTGCCAAAATGCAGCATTACAGGTGTAACTTTCACTTATAATCAAAAAGGTGTCTTTCACCAACTCTTGGAATATTACTAAATAAGCCTATACTGAAGAGTAGAAAATTCAGTTTTGTACAGATTAAATCTCTGTATTCTCCTCGTGTTCAATAAGCCATTTTGCTCAGCTCCATATCTTAAAAGATACACAATCAAAGAAGACATTTAATACGGAGCCAGTGTACACAAAGAACAGACCAATAGAGGTCTGGACATGGTCTTCTACCTGCGCTGATAATTTTGAATCTGCTGCTCAATGAGCTCTCTGTATGAAGCTTCTGCTTTCTTCTGAGTCACTGACACCAGCTGGATCAGTTCAGACCTGCAGGCAACAGGAATCATACAAATCAGTGCCACAGTACCAGGAAGGGTCACTGACAGACATCCACCACCATGTTCTCACCTACATTAATTCAGTTTATGAGCAGGGAAAACAAACTCTACTCCACGAACATATTTAAAGGAACAGGTTACAATCATGAACCTAGAGGACACAAGTGTCTTCTGACTTTCTTCTGATATCTTAGGCTGTGATCTCCAGTGGAAGCTGGATGTGGATATTAACAAACAGTGAACCAATACCTGGATTTTACACCTACGCTCATTCAGGGCTTCCATGTGCTAAATTTCTTTACTACCTAAAATCTGCCTCAGAGTATTTCTGAAATCAAAGACTTTTCTTTTCTTCTGAAATCAAAGAGTGCAGAAACAGGTTAAAGTTAAGCTCTGGTTAAGCAAGGTCAGTTGCAGATATCAATTAGTTTTACATGGAACAAAAGACACAGGGGGTCCCCAAGCACTGGAACTGAGAACAAAAGATCCAACACATCAGAAATATTCAAAACCACCACCTATCTCATGGTCACACCAAGCAGACTGTGGAAACTATTTGTAAAACATCTTAATGTATTAGTATGGGACATCTTTTTTTTCCTAAGCTATAACCATGAAATACGCACAGGGGGCAGATTAAATAAAAAAATCAAAAGGATCTGCATTGTTAGAAAGCCACTTATTCCTGGGAGGGGTCTTGGTAGCCTGGTTCTTATCCTGAAAACACAGGGCACAGGGGGAGACTGCACCCTGGAGGGGAAACCAGTCCAAACCAGGAGCAACTTAAAAATGGAAAATGAACTCATCAGACTGGGGGAGAGCATGCATACTCCACCCAGACTGTCCCCCAGCCCAGAATCAGACCCAGGATCCAAGAAACTGTATCGAGAATACTTGGGAAAGCACATTACTAAATAAAACAAATGTGTTCAAAATTGTCCAGGGCACATACTTTTCCAGTGACTTGAGAATGTAGTTGTAGTTGTTGTGGAGGAAGATGGCGCTCAGCGCTTGATCCTCGTAAACTTTCGACTTGCTCAGCAGGTTCAGCTGCAGGTTTCCGAGCACCTTGCCTTTGAAACACAATGAAGCTTCACGTTATTGCGGTCACCTTTCGCTTGGTGTTTCTGTGCAACACAGATATAAAAAGCTATGCGTTTCTATATTTGTAACCCACAAGCTCCTCAAGCGAGGAATCATCTGATTATTTTGTGGAATTGCATGGGTAAATTTTTTACAATTGCAATTTTGGAGCTGCCAATTTCAACTCAACCTGGCTCACCACCATTCGTGCCCATGAAGGAGAAATGATGACAATGTCAGAACAACTGTCAGGGCAATTTCTAACACTGGGTCTCACCATGCTAGTTACTGAAGAAGAGAGGAACAATGCAACTCCCCATACTAACCCTTTCAAGATCCTAGGAACCTGGCAGGCCACTGGGGTGACCATAGCCTGGCAAGCTAAAATGGGCCAACCATGCACTGCTACATGGGAAACTCCTTGCCCTTGGGGTGTCACAGGCAAGAACTAGTGATGTCCAGAATACAGAGCTGCAGCCAGCACTGTGAATAAGCTAAGCAAGCCACTCAGGAGCCGACAAAAAGCAAAATAGCTTGTGTGCTCTCAAAAGCTTGTTTTGCTTAGCAAATTACTAATATTTCATGTTTAACATTATAACAAAAAATATAGTCCTGTCATTCATACCCACTAATCCCAGATCAACCTAAAACTTTAGTATTGCTTTAACTGGAAATATTACTCTTACTTTTTATGAATGCTGACCCAACTGCACACAAAAAAGTGCCATAGCTGATGCAGCCGAGAATTATATTAAACAGTAATTAAGACAACTAAATGTCTCCCACTTCTGTTTTTCTGGAGCTGACCACTGCTCATAATCTATACAAGTGGGAACATCCATTTTTTTCCTTTATATTTTTTCCAATTTTAAAGAAGGAATCGATTGTCAAATTAACTTGCTCGCTGTGCCCTCCGTTCTAAAGCCCAGGGCGGGAAACTCACAGATGTAGGTGCTGAGGAGCCGCCGGCTGAATTCTGAGCTGTAGCTGCTTGCAGAGGAACTGGTTTCTGCAAACGAATAGGACAAATAAGTAAGAAAACAAAAACAACATTTGCACAGATATTCTATTTCATTTGTTCTCTGAAATGCTAACAATTTACTGCAGTAAACAGTCCTATGACGTACATTACTTCTTTAAATGGCAAATTTTCATGCAGGAATTACTGAGTACGACTTGCAGAGGCAGCCGACATTACCCAACACCACAGCAACACGGTACACTGGAATTATTCCATAGAATTAAAACGCTATATTTTTTACTTAATATTTTAATTGGATTCATTAAGAACTGACAATTAGTTTGTTTTTGGATCCACCAGATGTGTGTTTTTCCATGTCGGGGCTCAAGGCTTGATGCTGCCCAGGGAAGAATGAGGAAGTGCAGGCAGGCTCCTCTGACTTGCCCGTCTTGGAGTTGCAGGTTGCAGGCAGCACAGCCCCGAGGGTCGGCACACATTGGAGAAGAGGAAGCTCCTCTAGGGCTTTGACAGAAGTGCCATCCTGAAAGTGCCCGGGGGCCGAGAGGGTCCTGACCTCCTACTCCCACCCTACTAACCTCAGCATGCCCATCCCTTGAACCCACTCTCACTCTGTCTTCATCATCTCCGTTAAAGCAGCCATTATTTTATAACATGTAACAGAACAGTCTTCACTGAAAACCTCACTACTAATAACTACTAATCGGTCTTTAATCTGGATAATGTAATGCCACTGAAAAAGAGAAAGTGAATGGCTTTAACACATCACACAATTTTAAGGAAAACGACTTGCTACGGGTCAGTCTAGAAGTAAGAGGGTACACTCTGCTCTGAAGGTTTATAGCGAGTGATCCCTTGTCCATAGGTGAAAAAGTTATGGGGAAAGAGATGTCAATCTGCCATTTTCTGTGCTTACCTCGGGGGTCTAAAGGTATATTGTAAGTGTCCCCAAGGACTACAGGGTACAGGCAGAGGCGAGAGAAAGAGAAAGAGAGGCAAAGTGCAACAAGTTAGAGAGTCTCATTAGTACAGAGTAAGCAAACCCAACACAGCCAGATAGCAAGGATTAGACAGAATGCAGTGTTAACCCTTTGAGCACTGGGACTTCACAACGCAGAGATCCCAATGACACATGTTTCCATGTTTGCGGTGGTAAAAATCAAGTGGCTATTTTGGATCATAAATTGACTCACTTGTAAAGTCCTGAATTTTCTAATTTTATAAAGAAATTTCTGATAATTTAACTTTTAATCCCATTCAATGTCAACATCCCCGAAAATAAAATTCGCAATGTGCAAATAAAATCACTTTAGAAATGAAATGATTAATGAAAATCAATAATTCACCTCCTTACTTCTGGAGTAAGTGTACTGGCTTCAAAGCGCAAACTGATGTTGGCATCCATCATGGCTTATACAAGTGGTCAATAATACATGGTTAGTTACACTGCAGGTTTGAGACTGGAGTACAGAAGAGCTTGTACTAGCAGTGCATCGAAGGGCTAAACCGCAGGATCCAGAAGGAGAGGCAGTGTTGGAAACAGATGGATGAAAGGAGCAGGAAACGAATGAAAGAGTGCTTACAGCAGCAGGACAGGACAGCCAAGAGGGACACACAGATGGGACACTGACTTGGGAAGCTTCATTTGCCATTGACACAGGTGAGGAATTTTTCAAATGCTGTTAATGGAAAAGGCTGCTGCCGGCTGAATCACGGACAAAATGGGACAAAATGTATGTTTGCCAGCACAGCTGTTCACGTTCACTGGAGCTGCACAGTACTTGATCTCTGCAAGCCAAGATTCCCCACAATGGGTTTAGAAAAAAAAGCAACTAAATTCAAAAGTAATGCTTTCAGTGTAGTGCTCAGAGGCACTGTAGAGATAAAGATATATTTAATAAAGTGAATGATGTGAGTAATCAAATCTAAAAGGCCTTAAGAAATGCTCTATGTTTAAAACAAGAATAAAGTTACTGTAATTACATTCTACTAAGGAAGACATAAGTTTCTCTGGGAACCGAGTCTGAAACTCTTACTATATGATTTCTGATCTAGGTTTTCAGAGTTAGTCAATATAATGGCACTTTTTATCATACATGTGTAGCACTAAGATGTCTCATCTCTTTCTACTGTGTTATTCCCTGGCTCCGGTAATTATTCAAATGGAAAAAAAATCCAGCTCAAGAATTCAGTTAAAAATGAGTAACATCTCTGGACCTGCACCGCGTCTGAGCAAGTGTACGTGGCGGCCGACGCTTTTTGTGCGAGCTCAGCGCTTCACCACTCCTACCTTGGGATGCGAGCATGGCCCCAGCTGTCTCCTGGAAATCCAGCAGCTGCTGGAGAAACAGGATCGCCTGCAAGACAAGGGACACCGCAGTCAATACGTCACCGGCAAGGACCCGGCTCATCCCTGACCAGTGCCAGTCAGAGTGTCAGAAGATTGCAAAAGTGTATTCCCTGCCTCCCTGCCCTTCTTTAAAGAACATACACTGCAAATGACAGGAAGCCATTCAGCTAATCTACCCCATTTGTTAGTTTGTAGCTTGATAATGGTTTAAATAGCTAATTCGATTTTGAAATGCTATTCAAAACTGATGTCTCGGGATGAATGTTTTTAAGAGAGAAAATAAAAGCTTGAGGCCCTTTTGAGATTGTGTTTTGTGCTGGGTGCGAGACGGTTAATGTGTACTGCTTCTTTTATCTAGAAGTGAAACAGAACTTACGTTACTTGTGAGTTCATGGACAGTTCCATCCTTGGGCATGTTATACTCCTTATCTGGGTCATTCTGTTGAAAGAATCAGAGGCTCTTTAAAGGGCACTTGACAATCAACACAACTGTTTCAATCAACCTCGTGATCTAAGTGAACTTTAATTGCTCTCAATCAATTTTAAACATTAAAAGTATGGATTGTGTGTTACAGGAATGTGTATTTAGAATAGCGTTCAATATTTCACAACCCATACTGTCAAAAAAATCAATATGGTCAGCAACACAAGAAAATAACTAATAACTAATAAAGATGGGGTTATAGAGAATGCATGTCTAAAGTGAAAATGAAATGAAGACTACAATATTAAGCAAAGGCTGTCCAATTGTGCACAAGTTTTTCAATTTATATAGAATCAGTTAATCATTTCTATTCATTCTCTTGGAGGTAACGGCTTAGTCTTTTAAAACATAAAAATTATAATCAGGCATCCCCTGAAGGACATTCAAGAGAGCCAGAGAACGCATAATCAGACCTTTACTCAGAGAAATACAATCAAGCTACAATTCCATAAAGTGATTTATCGGGCAATAGAGCAAAAGGTTTCAGTGTAATTTCTTCAGTGGAAATATTAAAATGAGCTGGATAATTGCTTTCCACAGAAATGACTGATTATCGCTTTCCACTCCTAACATGAATTCATTTGGCCTAAAACATTTCAGGTTGGGGGGTTTGGTCTATTTGTGAACAGGACTTGCTCATACCTTAATGCTGTCTGCAAATTCCTCCAGCGCTTTGGCTCCGGTGGTTTCCATGGAGGTGATGAGTGTGGGCAGCTTGTTCTTGGTGCTGGCTGCCGTCCCCTAAAAAGAAGCACATAGCTGCAGTGAAGCACAGGAGAGCCCAGCCTTGACATTCTCATTTCCTTTTATTTACCTGGGAGACAGCTGGATGGAAAAAAAAAATCAGTAGTAAGTGCTAAGGAGCAGCTAGAGTTCTGAATACTCTGAAGTACTCGAGGTGGGTGGACTAATAGATTTTTTTATTCTACACAAAAGCCTCTTGTAAAATCTAAAGCTCCGGAACTCATTCAGAATAGCCAAAGAATCAGAAGAATAACATGACGACACAAGAGAAGTCAAGTTAAGCGCAGGATGACGTGTTTGTCGGAAGGATAAATCTGCTGCAGAAAAGCAATGCATGACCTTAATCGCATAAACCCTTTACCTGCAGGACCTGGTCGAACTCCGGTTTGGTCTGCTTCAGGTGCTTGAGAATGGGGAAGATGGTGAGCACGGCCGAGTAGTCATGCCTCATGATGGCCCTTCGTGCAGCAGAAACAATATTGTCCCCTTCCAGCATCAGGTTATCCAGAGCTTCCTGTTTCACAACAATGTCTTCTTTCATTAAAATAAAATGCCTTAACCTAAAGGGCTGCAATCTCAGCATTGCAGACATGCCCCCCACCAAAACTGAATGGAACACAAAGCCTTATTATGTGATCAATTATGTGAGACAAATTTCACAAATTAAGTCATGCTTTCGAATAAAAATGAATTCCACACACAGAGTCAGATGTGGAATTGGGAATTGTGTGTTATACCTCACCTTCATTTCTCACTTTCTGTATAAAAAACATAATGAATACATGAGGATGCTGTTTGAAACCCAATTCACTCAAGACGCAAAAATCTTGAGAAACATTTTTACACAAAAACAAAGTTCTAAAATGGTGACCTCCAGCTGTTCCAATCCACAGCCTAATTTAAGAAGATGGAAATAAGGAAATCAGACCTGGATCAGGGAGTCGAAGGTCTTCTTCTGATGGTGTTCAGGGATGATGTCTGTGAGCAGCTGGTATTCACTCTGAGCTAGCTTGACAAAGGCACTGATGCAGTGCATGTAGGAGTCGATCTCAATGTCCAGAACGTCATCTTTGCCTATTAACAGGAAATTCATAGATCAGTCAGTTCTGTAATCAAACTGTTCCTGATCTGCAGCACATTAACAATGTATAAGTAAAACTCCCAAAAGATTAAAGATTTAAACTCTGCCTTACTAAGACATTCTCATTTGGTTATGGTTTAAATAGCTTTTAATATGAGATATTTTTCTAAAACATTCTCTAAAAAAATCTAGACAAAGACATTTGAAACACAGAACAATGAAAAGACTAAAAATAAGTATAATGTGACAGCTGGGCTTTAGGTAAGGTATATTTTAACTAAAGGAGGAGGAGGATATTGTTCTTAACAGTATTAAAAAACAATTATGTAACAAAATGTCTGGATACACTAATTATACACAGATATCTTCAAAAACAATAAAATAAGGTGTATACATTTCATCTTTTTATATGCATCAGTAAACATTAGTCTAACTGTCTAGTCTCTTTATTTCTCAAAGAAAAATGCTTTAACTTGGTTCAAGGTGAAACATGGGACAGCAATGTTTTAAAGAGGAGTTTTCGAGACCTTCATAAAGTGAAAGGCTACTTCCGAAGAGATTAGTAAGTGGAAAATATACCACTTTTGAGAAGAAAGATTGTTTTAATTTACAAACCTCAAATACTTCTCCCAGTTGATAAAACTACCCTTTTACCTTTTTTATCCAGTGGTGTAATAAACCTAAAGTCTTTTTGCACAGTGCTTGTCCATACAGTACATATTGCTAAACCATGACAAATCACACAAAACATCATATTAAACTGAGTATTTCTGCTGAATGGGTTAGCAAATCAATACTCAAATGACTGATATTGTAGCAAGTTATGAACACTGCAAATATTGTACACAGGGCTCTCCTTAAAGTAAGTAATGGCCTAGGTTGTACAGACTGAAAATGTCTTCCACTTTGAGCCACAGAGACCTTATAAGACCAGGAAGTTCTTTATGCTGTTTGTGGGACTTTCTTACATGTTTGATGATTGACAAAGTCTAAAGTTCTTAACAGAATAAGCTTAAATGTGTTTTAAGGAATTCGTAATATTTCACAAACATCGTATGGTCCAGCAATACCAAGGACTTGGTCTACAGATAATGTGCACTCTGATGCCCATACTTACCCACCACAGCCCCGTGCTTCTCATTCAGGGCGTCAGAGAGATGTTTGACCCTCAGGTCGTGATCATGACCTAGCAGGGTGCCAGAGTAGTGGAGATATTGCCGTTATCCTTGGCCTACTCCTGGGGCAATTTGGTGGGACCTGAGACTATTTACAGACACACACCGACTACCGTCACCCAGCAAGAAAAGCAAAGGAGGCCTCTGAGCCAGAGTGCGGAGATTTTGAGTGCAGAGGGGTGTGCTCTTGGGGTTTTCTCTCTTATCACCGATATTTATACCGATGCATCAATACGTAAGGAGAGTTTGGTACAGGCCAAGTCTAGAGGCTGTGAATTTGGACTGCATACTATGACGTGGGTCTGAAGACAAGAACATCCAGTTGTCACAGGAGCTTTTACCCTCAGTAGCAAATAGCTTCTCTAAAATCCTTCATTTTACACACTGAAATTGAACACTGACATAACCAGTATTTGTCAGATAGGTTTGAAAACTGCCTGTAATATTTGTAGAGCAATTAAGGATGGAAATACAATACACTAACAATGTCACTCATAAATCTTGTATCCAAACCTTAGACAGGGTCATTTGAAAGAGATGCCAATGGAGTTTTGCTATAGCCCTGTATTTTTTTTCCCCAAAGTTAAGAAGTCTTTACATCAAAGCTCTTTAGAATCATTGTAATTATTAATATCAAGGACCACACTTTACAATGTAACCTGAATCAGAATTAAAAGTGAGCTTGGTGTCAAACCTGTATCTTAAGAACAATTTCTAAACAACGCCAATTTGGGAAACGGACTGCTAAAATTGTTCATTTCCCATAAGGCACGCAAAACCAAAGCATGCGTACACTGCGAAATAACTTCACTCAATTTCAGTCTATCCTCCAAAGCTCCTGTGAGACTGCAGGGAATCCCTGTCACCCCTCTGGCTGTGTAAAGCAAGATAAAGGGCCTTCTGTGAGCGAGAGAGACCCTGGATTGTTTGAGAAGAACTCTGACACCGAAAGACAAGATTCATTACCTTCCAAAGGAGTGAGGTTAGAGCCCCCCCTTTTCCCATCGAGCCCATGCTGAGAGTACTGTTTCAGAAGGTTCTGAGCCTTACGGATTGTGCCTGTTCCCATAGAAAAAAAACAGAGAAAGGGACACCAAAGGGAGGAAGGGAAAAGACAGAGAGATGGATAGGAGAGGGCAAACGAGGGAAGAGAAGAAAGGAGATCTAGAGAGTGATGAAACACTGCCACACCCCTCCACCAACACCGATGTTCAGTTAGAAAAGCATTAGAACCACTGCCTTAGCAAGGCAAACAACCACAGACTGAGCGTTTAAGGGAACATCTTTAGATGTAAAGTAAAAAAATATACTGTTAAACATGAACACAAAAGCAGCATACACAGAAATATTGATATTTAGAATACAGGCAGCATTTTAAAGATTCCGGTTTAGTTTCAAAGTACTTCATAGTATTCCATCAAGCAAAATTCAACAGTTAAACTGGTTTATTTATACTACATTAAGCTGATTATTAATTTATTAGTATATTCAAAAGTATTAATATCATAAAGATCTGTACACAAAAAAGAAAAGGTAACCATTTGCAAATTTAGTATGTTAGTAAGCACACAGACATGAAAATTAGTAAATTGGATTGTTAAATTATATGCCTTTCATTGATGCTCTAACCCCCCCATTTATATATGCTAAAATGCAATGTAACTACAGTATTCTAACCAAAGGTTTGGTCTATTGTAGGCATCTAACATTGTGAGCATAAATCAATGCAGCTTGGTTTACAGTCTCGGGTCTTTGTAAAAAGAACAAAAACACATGCAAGTGGGTTGCAAAGACTGATTAAGTTCTATGAAGGTAATGATTACAACACAAATCTTCCAACTCTAGGTAACAGATCACTGACATGTCATAAATGTTTTGGAATAAAGTAAACTACAAGCACAAAAACCCACGAAATAAACAAGAGAAGAGCACAGGTTTGCTATATATAGCTTTTGATTGCTTGAACTATGGCAGGAGAAAATTATCATGGAGGTGTTTGCAATCTCCCATGAGTTTAATGCATGTACAACCAAAACAACAGAAAACAGAAAAACGGTTTCAACTCCTCTGAAAGGACACAAGCCTTTTGTTCAGTTTCCCACTCCCCACAACCGAGAATCAATACACAGGACCACACAGAACACGGAAGAAAGCTTTTGTAACTTCCAAGGAAATCCAAGAAAAATGCCATGTTTGAGAATTTATAAAGCTGGTCCAATATACCTCTACAACAGATCTTTCTTGAACAAACAAACTGAGAGATGATTTAGGGTTAAGAATATTTTTTGGCGATTTCTACATGGTACTTCAACCTAATGTTAAGACAATGATATCTGTTACACTATTGCATGGATCTAATGCCACATTTTTTGAACAATTAAGATAATAATGTTCCAATTACACTTTCTGTGTTCAAGTGCTCTTAAAACAGTTTGATCTGAAGTACGATCAAGAGTACAAGCAGTAAATGTGTTATATGTAATACATTTCCTCAGTGTTGTGCTGTTCTGCAATTTTAAGGAAAAGGGTACACAATACCTCAGTCCACAAACTTCCATGTTTTATTTTTGTTTAATTCTTCATTTGTCATTTGGGAGTTGGGGAATGTGAATCTGAACTGTTTATACTACGGACTCTCTGGTATTTGAAGTTAAATGCAGTGCTCAGTTAAAACAAGCAAGCAATGAGAGCATAGCACATTGAAGCTTTTCATTTTTTTACCTGGGATGTAGACTGTAAATCATCAAACAAAAGGGGAAAATAAGTTAATAAAATATCTAAGGAAAGAAAAAACAAGCACGAGCACTGATGAGACTGATGGATACCAGGAAAACGGAATTCCACTTTCCAAAACCGAAAGTAAGAAATCAAAAGAATAATTCAGGGTACATCTGCCAGAAGCAAACGGAAGGGGGATTTTTAAACAAACAAACCTTAATGCAAGTCAGAGCAGGACTTCCAAGTCTCTGTTTTCATTACAGATGAGCCTTCTGGCACTTGTCAAGCCACTAAATAAACTAATTAAATTCTTAATTCAATAGTTTTCTATTTCTGCTGATAAAAACTAGCAGGATTAAAGTTACTTATAAGATCTAATTGTTTTGTTGATCCATTATTAGAAAGCCACAGATCCAGGTGAAGATGGTGGCAAGCCAGAGCCTGTCCAGAAAGCACAGACCCAGGGTGAGAATGAGAGTGTATATCTGCCATCTCCCCAGATGTTAGGTCACTAAGAACGGGGACAACTTCAAATAGCCAATCAGAACTAGCTAGCAGGCCTCTGGCTGGTGAGAGAAAAGTGGAGCACTATGGCAAAAACCACATGTGAACATGACTAAAAACACTCCCTACAAACAGATGCCCGAAAGTCAGAAACCCTAGAGCTGCGAGACAAAACCACTAAGTCCCTCGTCAACCCACCCCCATAACAGCTTGAGTTATTCAAATGATTAGTTCGATAAAGGGATCAGTGAAATAAATGAGAGCTCAGCAGGAATGAAAACAAAACAAAACAGAGGCAATGAGCTGGACAATGATCCCACAGCCAAACAACAAAAGAAAAAACTCGATTAAAAAAAAAAGGCAAATTAAGGTTTAAACTGCTGTTAAATACTATTGATCCCATGCCATCCACAATACGACAAAAGCCAAACTACAGCTTATTAAGGAGCTGAATATATGAATAACCTGGTGATGTTTTTTTGGGGGGAGGAGGGAGGTTATTGATAAAAAAAGAACTGAAAAATAACAGTGCACAGCGTTAAAGAAACTAAAAAGAGAGGAATCAACATGTTGGTGGTTGAGATTGAGGCCAGCCAGGTGAGATGCGAAATGGTGAAGCAAACGACCCGTCAGGTGAAGGCTCTGACTGTGAAAGGGGTGCTGGGAGGTTCCCACACTGACCTGGTCTTTTGGGGGGCTTCTTCGTGGGCGTGTCCTTGCGCTTGTTCTGCACTGCAGGCGAGTACAGCACGCCTGAGGAGGAGCTGTTCTTGCGGAAATGCTCTTTCAAGCCCTTTATGGAGCGGTCAAGCTGACTGGACCGAATCTGGAAGTACACATTCATGAAGTCTGGAAATACAAAAACCAGAAGAAATGCACTTAAAAAAACATTTTAAACTAGCCGATTAAAAAAAAAACATGTACTTTCCAACCTTAAATCCCCTCAAATCTTAGAATCTTAAATGAGAAAACTATTCTCAACTCCAGTTTTGTATGTCTCAATTATTTTGACACTTCACACCACTTACCAAAAGGCGTGGCAGGGCTGCTGCAACCATCAGCTGGTGTGGTGGACTGTAAGGATGCCTCTCTACCTAACGATCCTGCTCTCAGCCTGCCCTCCCTTTTCAGAGATCCTTTCTTCCTTCCTTTAAACACCTCCTGCCTGCAGTTTTCTAAACCTGGATCACAGTTAAACACAGCCGTCCTTCTTGGCTAGCAACCCTCTAAGTCTATAAAGGTATCTACTTTTGATTAAAAAAATAGATGCTTATTATGTAAGGCAGCAACCAGAACTTTTAGTTATCTAGGGCTCAGAAATGTGAGGCAGGGTTCAAATGGTCTACACAAGAGCTCTGTGAAGTTAGCACGCCTATAAACTGCAAACAAAGTCACGTGACCCCTGTCGCTGCTGTAGGGGGCTAAGTGACATCACAACCCGAAAACAGAAGGTGCTATTTCTCAGGAATGAAAGCACTTCAAATGGTACTTTCAATGGCACAAACGAGCACACAGCACAAACAAAAAAGACTGGTTCAGTTCTCCCACACCGTTATGGGGATGGGGTTGAGTGACCTCACATCCCTGAAGAATTAAGGTGCTATATCTCAGCAAGTACAGCAGCACAAACACAACTTTCAATGACACAAACGGAGCACAAACAACGGCTGTGGGTTTAACTGTATGTCCTATTCGTAGGGGTGCCAACTTCACAGCGCTCTAAACAAGGCACAACTAGACCAATAAAAATTCTTCATGGGCCTTAAAAAGCCAATGAATTGAAAACATGCTGGACTGATGATGCCTTTTAAAGAGTTTAAAGGGCATCATTGAAAAAAAAGTTTAAAGTCCTAGGCCATAAGGAATATACATTTTAATTACAACATATGCAAGATTTTTTTTTTGAGGGAAAAGGCTTTTCTTATCATTTGCTTTTTAAGATAAAAGTAAATGAGTTAACAGAATTGCAACCTTAATGACTACAACCCCTCACCACACATTCCCTCCATACAGTGCAAACTCAATACTGAAGCTGCATGCAGTGAAAGAGTTCCAGGACAAACGTGGGGTACCCTGGTTGCGGCCGTATTCTACCAGCCAGCCAGAGATGCAGATGATATCCTGCAGTGTGGCCTCAGGCAGGTGCTCCAGTGTGACCTCTTCCTGCACATCCAGGTCCTCATCGGTTCCAATCAGATCCAAGATCAAGATGGGCGGCACAGGTTTGCTGTAGCGGGTCAACAAACTCCGGAACTCAGCCTCCAACAGCTCCTTCCCCTTCTCAAATCTCGCTTTCTGGGGAAGGGAAGATGACAGGGTAAAACCAAACTCCTTCTTTAACAAAGGTCCTTTTAAGAATGTGCATCAGTCTATCAGGACAGTTGAGCTTAGGAGGTACTGCCATTGAAAAGCTTCATCCTCACATTCTTAAAATCATGACCTCATGTAACAGAGCTGGCAAAGATGAGCAACGGACAAAATAGGTGTTGCATTAAAATACACATCTTGTCTTTTTCAGTACAGTACAGAAATCACTCAGATTCAAAAGAGACATGAACAAATTGTAATATTAAACACATAAAAACAGTGTTTAGATTCAAAAAAGGGGCAGGACTTACAACTGTGTTGAGCTCTGGGCTATCAGGGTTATTGTCCTGAAAATATTCCACTGCTTTCTGGATTTTCGCAATACAAGCAAGGTACTCATCCAGTCGGCCTGTAGGGCTGAAACACACACTTAACTGAGTATAATAAACTGGCAGTCTCAAAACGTGCACCTGTTTTGCATCGATTTAAGTGAAACCAACACTATTTTCACACTCTTTCAGTATTCAGATTTATTAATGTTTTTGCAAGCAGACTAAGACCTAGATTAAATTAAATCGCATTATCTGGTGATTTCTTGCAAATTGCAAATAACTACCCAGGTAGTGGACTACCGCTTTTTAATGAAGTTAAAGGCTTCTTCCTTCCATTCAAACGAAAGAATTACTCATCTATGAATTGGCTTCATTACTCTACTCTCCTCCCCACTGATAGCTGATGTGTGGTGAGCGTTCTGGCGCACTATGGCTGCCGTCGCATCATCCAGGTGGAGGCTGCACATTGGTGGTGGTGGAGGGGAGTCCCCATTACCTGTAAAGCGCTTTGAGTGGAGTGTCCAGAAAAGCGCTATATAAGTGTAAGCAATTATTATTATTATTATCTTGGAACGGTGGGTTTGGTTCACCCAGAACACTCCCAGCCCCTCCTCATGCTGGACACCACGCCTCACCCCTCTTTGATGATCTTGTCTGTGTCCTTGGCCACGTGGTAGTAGCTGATGACGTGGTCCAGGCAGGAGAGAGTCTTCTCCACGTTGTCCTGCAGCCGCTGCAGATTCTCTGTCTGCTTGTGCACTGGTATGATGGAGTTCTCCAGCTGCATGAGGCGGCTCTCAAAGGAGGACAAGATGGAAACCTGCAGAACAGCGAGGCAGCGTAGGGAGAGGGTTGAGGTCTTTAACCAGAGTCGAAGCTGCAAAAGCAGTTGCATTCATTTTTTTTATCCTACCCACTCTTATTCAGAGACAAATCAAAAGAACTATGAAACCTGAAAGATCCAGTGGACCACAGGACCATGAATACTATGGACACCCCCAGTATACTATAATCCAACAAATTATTTCAGTGCTGCTTTGTTACCAAAAGGCAATTCCACACCAACCCAGAAAATCAGACTGTATAACCTTGGGATAACCACATAAGTCTAAGTTAAAAACAAACATATAAGGCACTGGAGAGCCTCATTGTTGTTTGGCTTTACGTCCATCTGTATAGCCACTGTTTCTACATTTTTACTATTTCAGGATTACAAGTTAAAACTTGGTGCCCTGCAGTCCTACACAACCAGGAGAGAACATCACTGATCTAAACGGTTTTCTTACCATTCCTTTCGTCAGCTGATCACTTTTCTCCAGGTTTTCACGGATGAATGACAACGTGTCCTGCTCCTGTCGAAGGGTAAAAATATAACAGAGGTGCTGGAAAGCATGTTAATCACACCTTATATTCTGTACCTAGAGGGCTCCAGCCCTGGCCGTTAGGAACCAATGGGTATTCTTGTTTGAACTGCAACCATTGTCTCTCAATTGCTTAATTAGGCCAACTAACAGTCAAAATGAACATGATCTTTAACCACTGACTGAAACCATCTAAAAAGCCCCCATTGTACAGGGGTGTGGCCGCCTCCGAGCTCAAGCGTTAGAGATCACTATGCTTTGACAGTAGAAATCTCCACATACTGTACTACCATTAACAACAATGAACTTTTGCAATTAATACAACTTGGAATGCACACAGATGCGTAAACTAATGTCGGCAAAGAATGTTTTTTTTTTATATCCAAAAAGGAAAATGAATCACAGTCCTTCAAGATGACTGTGAACAGATGAAAATACTCTAAAAGTGCCGTTGATCCTCTACAAACCTGTTTGAGTTTCTCTTCTATTTCTCTCTTCCTAGAGGATGCGTCCTCCGTTGGAATCATCCTGCTAAATGACTGGTTAATGTCCTTATTAAAGTAAAGTATTAGTGTTTATATTTTTGATTCTAACAATTAAATGCACTTGAACCCCTACTCATACTAACAGGTTTTGCTTCCTGTTTTTCTCTTTCGACCTTCTTCCGTTTCCGGTTGGCAGCAAGGCAGTACAGAACCTCTCCGTACGGTCCGGTGTTTCCTTCATTTTGGTTGTGGCAAGAATTGCATTTGAAAAGAAATTTTTGTTATTTCTAAAATTGTTGCGTGCGAAACATTTTTGTTAGGGGATTAGTGAATGCTGCAATAAAAAAGAGTCTCACTTTATTAATATTTTGAACTGAAGTCATTTAAATCACTTTGAATTAATGATTATGGACATACTATTTGGTTGTTTTTTTTCTGTTTAAACACAAATACATTATTCCGTGTACAGTTGTCGTCTTATATAATATAAATTCTAATTTTTCAAGGTGATTTTATCGTGTTGGGGTTTACCACAAAATAAACCTAATGCAATTCTTGTTCCCCTCACATCGTGTCGCTGTAGGATGGCCATTAATACGAGAACTTAAAAGTACAGCGCTTAATTTTTTAAGATAATCCTTTATTTTGTTAGGAACTAGAGTACAACAATCACAGCTGTCCAATTACCGAATAGCCTGATAATATCGATTGTGATAAATGGGGAAAAAAATGTTATTGTGCTCTTTTTTAAAGGGCGATTATAAACCTTTGGTAAGGCTATTCCTGGTAAATTCTAATTATGCAGTGTCTTACACTACAGAAGCATCTGTCTCGATGACTCTCTCAAAGTTTGAGTGCCCAGGAAGTATTTAATTTTAACAAGCGCCCATAGGTTGCTCACGGAACTACAGCGTTTTTTAAACGGAGATCAACTTTTATGTATAGGTATACAGATACTGTTGGAACAAATAATATGTAAGAATAAACGGTTTAAATATGAATCTATCTGGTAATCGAATTAAACTGAATTTTGGGGAAAACTTGGGGATTACCTACATAGTCCTGTGTTTTACACTTCCATGGCATATAATAACTCAGTGTTATGATTAATAATCTGAAAAGTATCTAATGTTTAATTTTACTGTTTACTCAAAGTGTAACATTTCTTTTTTAATAATAACAATTGCTTATATAGCGCTTTTCTGGACACTCCACTCAAAGTGCTTTACAGGTAATGGGGACTCGCCATTGTACTGGGGCATTAGGACCCACGCAGACCGCAGAGCGAGCGCCCCCTGCTGGCCCCACTAACACCTCTTCCAGCAGCAACCTTAGTTTTTCCCAGGAGGTCTCCCACCCAGGTACTGACCAGGCTCACAGGCTCAAAATCTTCTTTTAGCTTCAGAAGAACAGAAAGAGAAATTGTATCATTATAGTGCTGAGAGAAAACTATACACCCAGATTTTAGAATTGTTTGTTTGCGCCCCATGCGAAGGTAAAAGAATGCTTCAGCTACAGGTAGTGCCCTAGCACGTGGTAAACTGGGTGCCCAAGATATGGAATACAAGAGTCACGAGCTTGTTGACTTAATGATGTCATTAATGATAAGGCAGCATCAAGGTGGGGGCTCCACATTGGTGGGGGTGGTGGAGGGGAGGCCCCATTACATATAACGCGCTTTGACTGAAGTGTCCAGAAAAAGCGTTATATATCAGTGTAAGGAATTATTTTTGTGATATGAAGGATGAGAGATTTTAGTCGCGGGCGATTGAGCAGTAATTTTGCACGTATATCATTTATACTATTGAAGTTACTGTTGCATAATTTAAACGCCTACAGTAGTCAGTGGATTAAGTGGGTCAATTCCATCGCAATGCGTTAAAAAAAAAATCGCACTCAGCCTTAGCGCATTTTATCAAAGTAACCGGAGAGAGGCTCTCCTGGACATGGGGGCGGGAACCGCTTGCTGTATTCCAAAAACATGTCAAAGGGCGTCTAGTGTCATTAAAATGTATCGATACAGTCGGTAAGGTGGGGGGTAATAAGATGATTATTGATAAAAGTAATCTAACATGACAGGTTGACCCAGCGAGGATTATACACTTCACAACCACCGGATTCTATACCCATATGTGTATTTATTTTGAATTGCGGTAGATAAATTGATGTTAACTTGCACTTGTTGACACAGCAATGAGAGTAGGATCTGAAGGGGCGTCCTGGGGTCCCGCAGTGGAGGTTGATACGCCTGGAGGAGCTGTGCGCCTTGCTCGAGCGCCGAGCGTGCACATGAAAGCCTGGAACCCGGAAGTCCCTCATCCTGGATCCTGCTCCCACCTCATTCATCGCCTTGGCAGCGAGAGAGCCGGAGGAGGAGGAGGAGGGAGGGTGGTGAGAGAGAGAGATTATTTAGGGATCAAAACAGACAGGCTTGTCTTGACACCCGAGGGGAGGAAAAAAAAAATGGGGAACTCCGACACCAAGCTGAACTTCAGGAAAGCCGTAATACAGCTCACAACTAAAACGCAGGTAAAGGACACGGGGAACGATGCGTTTAAAAAGGGAGGCAGCGTTGTCGGCTCACATATGCAGCCTGAAACGCTGGGTTGATGGAAAGCACTGAGGAAAACGGGACCAGATGGTACACGAACATCAGAGAAAGGATGGATCAGACGAGCCCAGCAGACGGATTTCTTTGAAGAAAATAAATAAATGACGCGTTTTCACAGTAATCGGGCGCGTTAAACACAACGTGAAATAAAAACTATGGCGTTTTCAGTTAAATTATGTGCGTTTTCTGCTTTCATATTGTAAACGGTATCGCTTATTATAAATGCATGGGTTGTAAAAAGATGTAAATAACAGATTTTACCGTTGTATACAATCTGTTATAATTGTCGCTCTACAAAATCTGGATTTTGCATGCGTTGTGTGTGGGTGAAAATGAATTAAAAAATCCCGCACCCCCATCGGTAAATAAAGAGGTAGCTAGTTACTGTTTCTAGGTAGCTAGTAGTAGACTATTCCTAAGAGCTTGATGGGCCTGGGAAATCATTTTCGATAAACGATGGGGAGATTGGTCTTTTTTTCCCACTTCGCATGCGGGTTTCTACTAGTAAATCACCGATTGATCGCGTACATTTATTAATTTTCATATACCGAGGTTTTTCTGTTAAGCGAGCGCACACCTGGTGAAGGTGTTTCAAGGTGGACTCTGAGACAGGGGTTCGTGGATTTACGATAAATAGGAAATTAGAACAGCACTGAAGTCAGCCAGTAAAGAGGGTAGTGTGTTGATATTTGTTTAAATTAAATCTGTAATTTCAAAGACAGTCGTGTATGCTTCTGAGGTCTACTGTACTGATGACGTGTTTTAATCTCGCAAACCTGAGCGGCAGGTGCTTGGTTAAGGTGGACTGAGTGAGATAAGAGAATAAGCAATGACATACTGTTTATAGATGTTATGGCGGCTACAATATTCGGGCAAGTAGGTTAGTTTGCTGTTCGATTGTTTTTCTATCGTCTCATGCAAATGTATGTACAAACTGAGTGATACAACTCAGGCTTATTATTTGAGTAGTCTACATTTTTTTTTCTTATTTGAATCTCAATTTGACTGTCAACGCTTTCACCTCGGGGGGGACTCAGAAGCTTTAGACACGATTCACCGTTTCTAGAGACGAATATCTTAGGTTGTTGTTCGCTATTCTGATGTGGACACAAAAAAATAATAAATGATTTAATTTTGTTAATCTGTGCCTTTCAAGATTGTTACGTGAACAAATATTTGTACGTACTTGTATCTTACCGAATCAAAAATGCATAAATCGGTATCTATATCAAAGTTTTTCTTAGTGTAAAACTCATCGTGTGGTGTCGTTACTGGTGAGTGAAGCCAACCAATTATCTGTATGGTATGTTTCAGTGGAGATCGGCGTCACCATGCGTTGGCTGCAAAGGAATAATTAAAGGTTAAGAAAAGAGAAACAGACATTTCATCTGCAGGGACTTAGACTTCCTCAGGTCATACAGATTGCGTTTCTCCTTTCCATTTTCCAGCGTACTACTTCCCCTGTGTGTTTTATACAAGTTCTCAGATCCAGAGATGGGCCTTTCCCTTAGAAATTGCTTACGTTTTTGTATTGGTACTTTAACTGGCTTCTGGGATAATTGGCTCTAGGTGTGAGCGGGTATGTCTGTGCTCTTGTCTTTCTGTCTGCTTTGCTGTAGACTGGCATCCCATCGGGGGGGTGTCCTTATGGTGTATACAGTCATACTTTTGCCACTTGCATTGGTTAGCATCTTGGTAAAATGGGGTAATTCTTTTGGTTTACCTTCTATGTAAAAGCACATTTTCTTTTTGGGAAGTGTAATTCATGTTCTCTTCTTTTTTGGGGGGGATCTTTTACTCCAGCCTGTGGAGGCAACCGACGACGCCTTCTGGGACCAGTTTTGGGCTGACACGGCTACCTCAGTGCAGGATGTGTTTGCCCTGGTGCCAGCAGCGGAGATCCGAGCGGTTCGCGAGGAGTCTCCCTCAAACCTGGCAACCCTCTGCTACAAGGTACTGAATGTCTGGGGGCAGCTGTCTGCATTCTACCTGGGCACAGGTGGCAACAATCAACGAGCCCCGATGTCCATGGTTCAGATCATTGATTTGCACTGAGATGTAGTGGTGCTGGGTTTCACCCAGGCTGGCAGAGAAGTGTGTCTGAGTTTGGGCTGTGGAAAGGGCTGTTCCCTGCAAGGCTGTGAAAGGCTTTCTCCCAAACACTTTTGGAGTGCAGGAAATGAACCGAAGCAGACTTTATAGTAGTCAATGGCCTATGTTAGTCAGCACTGGATGGGTTTTATTTACTTTGATAGGTTTTGTTTTATTGATTTTCAAACTGCAGTTTAAAAGTAGAGCATGAGCAGCTTGTCCGGCACTTTTTGAAGCTCCTTGCTTGGTGAGAATGCTGTGTAGTTTCACTTTTTTTTTAATGCTTCGAAAAAGAACACACGTTGACAGTCCACAAAGAGCAATGCGTCTGTTGTTAAAAGAAGCAGGAAAAGGGCTGGTACACTTTGTTTCCCTTTGAGGGCCCTGCTAATGTAGCTGTTCCCTTTGAGCTGCCAAAGTTGCACATCAGAAAAAAAAAACATTGCTTTGGAATGCCTGCGTTTTGGTCACCCCTTGTTTGCCCGGCAGTAGTACCGACAGCAAAATCTTATGGATGTCTCTGTTATAAGCCCATTTACTCTGTTCCTAAAGTGTCAAGAGTTGCTCCTGTACTTTAGGTAAGGATTACAAGATTTCTAGGCTATTGCAATGAATGTGGAGCCACCTGGTCACAGGACCTCTTTCAAGTCCAGCAATATGTCATGCTGTGTTTTTTGGTAGCAACGTCTGATTATGATCATTTCTGATTTAATGGATGACCGTAATACTTCAATACAGGACCATCTGCATTTGTCCAGCTTTCCAAATCAGCGAGCTTGATAGTGAAGCTTTGGGTGTTACTTATGATTATTAAGGCAGCAGGAATGTCCTTATTGAGTGAGTAAGTACTTGTGCCTGTGGGATAGAGAAGAAGTGGTAAACTCTTAATTATGTCATTTAAAGTGCAACTAGAAGAGAACTGCAGTCAACAGCCAATTGAAAATTTGCCTTAAGAAAATAGATTTTTGAAGAATATGTTTTTCCTAGTGCTTTTTATCAATGTTTTTGATTGTTTTACACTCATATTTTTTAGTTTGAGGAACGTTTCAAATCTGATGAGAGACTGCATGCGGAAGTGCTCAGTTTAAACCCCAGCTTTGGGTTAAGATTAGGGTTAGCATTCCCACACTACCTAGATATTTGTACACCCAGTGCTGGATTTTGGGGCCAAATTCAGCATTAGGACGAGTGATAATTTGCTACCATCTTCCAATTTTATTTTTCGGAGACTTTTGGTTGCTTGTATTGCACTGCTCAGTAACTGTATCGCAAAGTTGAGTCAGATGAAAAGTTTTTAGAAAAACATGACTTGATTTTGTGCCAATGATAATGGCAGCAGGCATGTCCTCATTGAGCAAGTAAGTACTTGTGCCTGGGGGAAAGAGAAGATGTGGTCAGGGTCAGTCAGTGAGGAGAGCTATGTGATCGGAGGATGGTGGCAGGCTGGTATTGTGGAAGGCGCCTGACTGTTTCCCTGGCAGGCAGTGGAGAAGCTGGTCCAGGGGGCAGACTCGGGCTGCCCCTCGGAGAAGGAGAAGCAGATCGTGCTCAACTGCACCCGCCTGCTCACTCGCATTCTGCCCTACATCTTCGAGGACCCGGACTGGAGGGGCTTCTTCTGGTCCACTGTGCCAGGGGCTGGCCGAGCTGGGGTGAGTTTCCACACAGGGGCTAATGTACAGCCCCTGGAAATGACTTAGAATGATTCAGAATCTTGTTGGTTCTCTAGTGAACATGATTTCCTGCTTTTGTCCAACCTGCGGCATTGCACATTTGAGACTTCACATGCAGAGATATGCTCATCTGGACCATGCTGAATGGGCATATAATTTTAGCAAATAAATGCAATATTCTGGATTATTTGGTCCCATGAATGAATTTTTCACCTGTAACACTCACACAGCAATTAAACATAGAGCACAGATATTTACTGAATCGTCTTAAAAGTGTTTTTGTTGGGCCTTCTTATTAAAGAATGTTATCATTTTGGGGTGGATTGTGAGAATCCGTATTTCAGAGCTTGTGAGGAGGGTGTGAGTAGCGATATGGGATTAGGCAGCTTCCATGAGTTGCTAATTTATAAAACAAGTGGAAGCATGCGTGTAAAAGTCTAGTGATGGTGAGAAAAGCTAACAACTGATTTACTAGCAAATTATAGTTGAATCGTCTTTCATTTGCCTTTTCAAAAGCAAACTTACTAAAAACAAGTACAGCAAATATGTTGATACCCTAGATTTACATGTATGCTTTTCTTTTCCAGTTGTGTGCAGAAATCACTTTTTAAGGGACAGAGAGAATTCCTTTCTTCAGAACCTTAATAGGCCATGCTATATTCACCTCGCTCTCTGAGAGGATGCCAAAATAGATCAATCTGAAGAGGCAAGAGCAGTCTTCAGATGTGGGACTTAAAAAGCCTTTTTACAATTAGTGTTTATCCCTGCCACTACCTCCAGTGCACAGTTTCATCTTAGGTTTCAGTTAATCTAAACCTAGAAACTGATGTAAGTGAAATTGCATGACACTAGGGAAATATTGACAACATTATCAGAGGCATTGACTAGATCATTTTAATGCAACTGGTTCAGGTTTACCTTGAAATTCAAAGTGTGTTTTTGAAGTAACTAACTGATATGGGACAATCTCCTTTTTATACAGACTACAGTGTGGGATATTATCATTTCAGATCCTTTAACACTAGCACATTTACAGTCCTACTTGAATCTAATCTCTCATTCCTTAATAAGCACTTACTGTTAATTTATTTAAGCAATAAATTCCTTAACTACAATTATAGGAGCTTTGAGCTGTGGTGGAAATTGGCTGGTAATGGGCTGAAATTCAGTGCATTACCCACGGGCAGTAAGAGTCGTAATACTCCATTTTGAAAGGAAATGTCCTGCATGAGTGATGAAGCAGAGCACCTCAGTAGCAAATAAAGCAGGGAGATGCTTGCATAATAGTGCTTGGCATGAAAAGCTCCATCTCATGTGTCGTTTTCTGCAGTACAGAACTAAATACTCAAGACAGTAAATTTCCCTTTTGGAAAACCGTGCTGTTGGGTGCAGCAGAGCACATGAGACTGCTGTAGAATACAGCACACTGTATATGATTGAAAGGGCTTATAATAAAAGACAATACATTTAGACTGTATATCACATTTATGGTAGTTTAACTACTGATTGACCATAATAAAGTACTGATAAGACTCACACTATCATAATTACATGTGGATATCAGAATGTAGTTTGTTTTTTGTTACTGCTCCATGTCCTGGTTATTCATTAATAAACCATTTCTTTTCATATCAGTGTCTTGCTGCTTTTCTCTTCAAAACAGCCTGGCATATGCTTATTGCTGTTTCTCAAATGTTTATCCTGTACCGTAACCTGAAACCAGAATCTGGGTCCAGCTGCCTGTTCACATTGAAGCAGCTTATGTTGACGAAAAAATAAGTCTTCATTTTTTATTGTGAGCCAGGCCTCTTGTGTAGTTGACACACAGTGGGACAAACTCGATTTAGATCATTTTGTCAGAACCCCCCCCCACCACCACTACCTTAAAATTCCACCATTATTTTTTTGTCCCAGTGAGCTTTAAAAAATTAATGCCATTATATATATTTTTAATTTATTGCTCAATGTCTTCCTTTCTTACTAAGATTCCTTTAGGAATTTTAGCATGCTCATGAGATATAACATTATATAGTCTACATGGTTGCATACCTGTAATGCAGTAACACCAGTGAGTAAGTACTTTAAATATGAAGGTATTGAAATTAATCAGTCCTTACATACAATTGTGTTAACTGAGTATAATATTATACATAAAAATAACTGAAGTAGGTAGCTGCATCAGCATGCATAAGCTGCAAAGGGACAAGTAAAGGTTTATTCCATGCACAACATTGACACACTTGAAGATGGCTCCACAGCCAAGACATTATTTATTTTCTTTCTTTTCAGCATGGAATAAACCTTTACATGTTCCATAAATTAATTGAGACGCACTTAAATTGCTGGGCTTATGTACTCAATTTGCTTGAGGCACTTATTTCTATAATAAAAATAAACATACTCCCTCAAAGGGCCTGTTTTCAGTTCCCTTTACCTTCCTCTGTCCTTGACTAAATTGCACTCTAAATTTGTGAAGAAGAGGAAGTGGCCATGTGACAAATCCCAGACCTTGTAAAGTCCTGGATTATCAGGACTGAACTTCGGACTCGACTTTTGGTCATTGGTATTGTGACCAGTCAGGGTTTGATTTGAGGATGATGCTTGTGTTTCCTGGCAGCTATTAGGACACTAAGCCTTTCCTTCTTTTTTTACTCCAGAATTCCCCTTTCTGCAAATTACAGTTTGGTTGCAATATTTCCTATCTGATCACCTTATGGAGATCAGTGAAGAAAAGCACTAAAATGTGAGCAAAGATGCTCTTGAATTTGCTTTTCATTACGGTGTCCTTCTGTATGGTGCTGGTGCTTTTACTTCTGTGATCTGGAATTCACACTGTGGCAAAATACAACTTTTTACATTCTGGGGAAGTTTGGTCACACTGTAATTTACCAGGTACAGAACAGAGCACTGATATATGTGCTGCATCACCACTTGTTGAGACCTTTATTTAGACTGGCAAGCAATACCATCTAGAACAGGGCTAAGCAGCTGATGGATAATAATCTCTTTTGGGATACTCATAATTTGTACCTGGCCCTTATAAAGCCCCTGTCCAACCATTCTTTTTAACTTTATTCACATAGCTAGACTAAAAAAAGACGTTTCTTACATTTTACAGTCTTGCAGTAGTACAGTCAAGACTGTGCAAGACTGTAGGAGATGATGGGATTGCGTTTTGTTACATTGTTGTATTCAACTATTGCATTGCTTCCTCCCTCTTAAAAGTGCTTCGCCTTGCATCATCTTTCCTAGTGCAGACTGGTGGTTAGGCCAGTAGACTTCCAACTGGGGTTATGAAGGTTTGAATTGAAGCTGTGTACTTTACCTAGTACTCCTGTGACTCCTGCAAACCCAGTTTTATCAAAGGGTACCAACACCTGCATGCAAGAAAAATAGGTCCTGTATGTGTTTTTTCTTTGGAGTCACTTTGGAGGAAAGTCTCAGCTAATAAACGTATAAATAACACAGTTAAGTCACCGTTGTGTCATCTTCTTAGCAATATCGGTAAGTTTGCACAGAAAGAGTAATCTTTCTTGTCTGTATTACAGACAGCTTGGAAAAACGAGTCATAACTGTAGTTCTCATGGGCTTTGCTGCTTGTAGACAATGCTTCAAATCTTAGGAGTATTTGTGGAGCCTCATGTGCCATTCATACGTTTTCAGCTGTTTAGTCTGCATGTGCACAAGGGAATTGAGTGGATAGCATTGGGCCACTGATGGCAGAGCTCATTGTAGATGGCAGAGGGACGTGCAGAATCTTAATCCTTTATCACTGAGAACTTGTCCCCTTATTTGTGCAACAGGTATTTTATACTTGACCTCTCTAGATCTCTGGTGAGTTCACTTCTCGATTATTCTTTAGAGACTGGAATCCTCTTGGTTTTCTCTGAAGCTAAATACATGGAGGAGAACAAAGTCAGCAGTCTTCTGTTCTTTCTCTGAGACCTTACCTTTTCAGGCCGCAGTGCTGTTAGCATCTATATGCAGTTCAGAGTTTTTCATAACAAAGCAGTGCCTTTCGCATTATGAAAGCTTGTGGAGTAGTTTACCATTGAGTCTTTGCAGAACTGTGGGCCTGTGTTAGTAGTTTTCTTTCTGGGGTTCCCATTACCTGTCTTGCTGAGTCATTCAGAATGAGGAGTCACTCTCCCTGCTTTCGGCAGAACACTAGCAATATTGTATTTGTTCTCTACAGCTTTATGGCCCTCTGTGGGTTTGGAAGGTATTAAATCTCATTTAATCAAAGTGCAAGGCCGTTCCAATGCAGGTCTGCTGCTGGCTTTCCTAAATCAGAGGCTCTGAACCACAGTTTGGACAGCAATTTTAACTGTTTTGTCATTTTCTACATCATTTAATGATCAAAAGCACATTATCTCGTGGAAAAATGTGAGATAAACATTTGGGTCTCTTTTTTAATTAAATGATTTATTGGCTCCTGTTTGCTGTCATATTATTTTAATGTGAATATATTGCTCTATTTTAAAACATTATCTCTTTAATCTTACTATAATGTAGGGCTTAATGTTTCATTTCATGTTTTGATTTTAATTTTGTTTTTATTTTAGAGAAAACATCTATGCTCTTAGCATTAGAGGTTTTGAATGTGCAGTAGTTGCAAGATGGTCATGACAGAAGTGTGGCCTGACTATAGATCCTCTTTTCTCCCACCAGGCAGATGAAGGAGATGATGATAATGCCCGGCCTCTGGCAGAGTCCCTCCTGCTGGCCATCGCCGATCTTCTCTTCTGCCCAGACTTCACTGTCCAGAGCCACAGGAAGGGAGGTCCAGTGAGTACAATACTAAATATTTCACATTCCACTGTAGCCAGAGTGCTGGGGACTGTTGATACAGTTTATCCAGGCTTCACTGTTATTTAACCATGGCAATGTCAATCTCAGTGTGTTCTTTCAGTGAGATCAAACTGAAACTCCCAAATCTTTGTTTGGGGTGGAGTTTGGGGCGGAGCAGTGGCTCTGTGGCTAAGGATCTGCTCCTCTGGCTGGAAGGTTGCCGGTTCAAATCCTGAGGCTGGCAGAGGAATCCTTCTCCGTTGGGCCCCTGAGCAAGACCATTAACCCCAACTGCTCCAGGGGCGCTGTACAATGACTGACCCTGCGCTCTGACCCCAAGCTTCTCTGCCTGTCTGTGTGTGTGGTATGCGAAAAAGACAAATTCCTAATGCAAGAAATTGTATATGGCTAATAAAGTGATCTTATCTCATCTTATCACTTTATTGGCCATATACAATCTCTTGTATTAGGAATTTGTCTTTTCGCATATCCCACCTTGCTCTCCATGAGACACACAGACAGGGAGAGAAGCTTGGGGTCAGAGTGCAGGGTCAGCCATTGTACAGTGCCCCTGGAGCAGCTGGGGTTAAGGGCCTTGCTCAGGGGCCCAATGGAGTAGGATTCCTTCCAGCCACAGGCGCAAATCCTTAGCCACAGTGCCACCCCTCCGCCTAGTGTGGGATAAAAACACAATGTTCATCCTAGAAATTAAAAACAAGGTGAGATTATGCAATGCTTTATCAGCAAAGGGAACAAAACTCCCTTTGTAATACCACTTAAAGCTAAAGGCTTTGCACAAAAATGGACAGGATAGGTAAGTAAATACTGGTCTGTGCAATTAAATGTATTGCAAAACCCACAGGGGTGTGAGTGCTTTCTCATTCACATCCAGATTTAATTGCTTTAAAGATTTTTTTGCTCATATAATCCATGAAGATTGGCTGCAGTGGGGCCAGTCTTCTTTTAAACAATAAAGTAATGTTTTGTCCCTAAGAAATGTATATTAAACTGTAAACCTGAGGGTGGAAAAGGCCAGACTCCTTGATTCCTTTCTGTTTTCAATTCCTTGTGTTGAATAAGGCTCTAATGAGGTTGTGTAGTTAATCAATAATGGGGGCTCACAGGGAGGCCTGGCAAATTGTGTTTGACAACTGGGCTGAGAGATGTTGCTAATCCACTGAGCAAACAGCCTCCTGTTGCTCAGGGCTGCCAGACAGCTAGCAGCTACGTCATTAAAGGAAATGTTGCAGGCTGCAGAATAATGAGGATCCATGTTAAAAAGTTGCACAGTGTAATGATGGAAAACGCCTGAAGGCCACTTTCAGTCTATCCACAGCTTGCTCACCTGCTGTGAAGGTGACAGTTGTTCAGCTGTGGCATTTTAAACACATTAGTTTCAACAACAACAACGCACTTCTCGATTTCTTTCAGAAATGCTGGGCTTTGTCTGACATTCAGTCTGTTTTCTTACCTATACTAAGTGATTCTTTTAAAAATATTTTTTTTCTATTAGGTTCTTTATAGAAAAGAATTGAGGAAATAAATTGGTTTTGAATTCCTTACTTGCTATAAACCTCTGGACTGTATTCAACTGCAAACTCTTTGTGTGTTAAGAGAGTGCAAAGGATTTATCATTTGTGTACATATATGAACTGTTGTAACATATATGATCTGCTAATGTCTCATTGTGAGACAAAAGCAACTTTATTGTATGGGACTCTTGCTTATCTATTGTGCCTTGGGTCAACCGTGTTGTGGAAGGCGTTATATAAAAATGCATTGAATTGAATCTATTTCTATAGTGAACAAAAAAAAGCTTTATTTTCCCTCAGGATGTGGGGAAAAATAAACTCGGATGGTTTACTCTTTACTTCACTCATATGGTTTCAGTGTTGCCTTGCAGGTCACTTAGTGCAGAAATCTCAGGCTTCGCTTCAGTGACAGTTGCTAGGTACTCAATGTGCAGCTCAAGTCAAATTGTTGGAAGTTCTAGCTTGACCAGTTTTACAGTTGGTCTTTTCCTCAGATGCAAAGTTATTGCCTGAAGACTGTGTGTCATAGTATTAGTACAACCTGCTTTACGAGTCTTTAGTTGAAATGGGTATTACTACTCTAAATTAAGGAGGAGCTTTCTGTATTTTAGCAATTAAAAAAAACAATAGCCTAGGGAAAAAGCTATTGTTTGTGACTGCACAATGAAGATGGTTTGTTGCTGTATTGAGTTTTGTTACAGTCAGATCAGTGTATTGCCTCCAATCTCTTGTGTTGGTGTTTACTCATTTTTAGGTTAATTCCGCCTTATTAAATATGATTTTAAGAATTTTACAAATAGTACAATAGGGAAGAGGCATGTTTTGTACTTTAAACTGTGCGAATCTTTAATATCATGGCTGATGTTTGTGTTTAGCCATGTTAACATTTGCATTTATGTTAATCATCTTTCAGTTTTCTGGCATTGTGCTTGAAGCAGTTGTTTCAGGTGCTTCAGCTTTTGTGTTGTTTTTTTTTGAAAAAACAAACAGTGCCAGCAGTGGAATTGCATTATTCACAGCAGAGCCTGTCTAAGCTGCTCTTTTACATGAATGAAGAAATTTGAAACACTCAAAACAGCGGGATCTTAGCAATAGATAAAACCAAATTACCCTTATTCAGTATTTTGTTGCATTTTACACCACATTTGATTTTCCATTTCTTGAACTGGCCAAAATAAAATCCAGTTTGTGAGTTGTCAGTGTCTCTTGAGGAGGATGTGCTATATTAATCCTTCTCTTTTACCACTGGATGAAATTCGTCAGAGAGGAGAGCAGTGGTTAGGATTCTGGACACATAACTGAAAGGCTGTGGGTTAAAATCTCAGACGAGACACTGCTGTTGTGCCCTTGAATAAGGTGCTTCACCTGCATTGCTCCAGTAAAAAAAAACAGCTGCATACACGGATGCCAATATAAGTCCCTTTCAGATAAAAGTCAAATAAATTAGTAGTAGATTAGGGTGAAAAGTGTTAGCTGGGGGAAGGATCTGGAGCATCTCACTAGATCTTCTACTACACAGATTTATATCCACAAAGCACATTAAAACCAACAAGTGGCTGTTCGTCTTTTCCCTTCACGTCCCCGGAGTGAAAACTGCCTGTAAAGCAAGGGTCTCAAACTCAATCCCGGGAGTGTCTGGTGGCGCCTGGTTTTGGCTCCGCCCACGTTCTCAGTTACGTACTGTAGCTGGTCTAATTAATGAATAAGCGCCATAATTGTTAGACTTCCAGCCAGGCTTCAGGGTGATTTATAAGTAACTACCTTTTAACAGAGAACATCTCATGTAATCAGCCTTCGGAAAAATTCCATATGTGTCCAATTTAGAAAATAATGAGGTTAAATGTTTTTGACTACTGAGGTTAGACCAAAAACCAGAAGGGACAAGGCCCTCCAGGACACAGATTAGACGTGCCTGATGTAGAGCTTGACTCCCAGGGAAGGAAAGAGATTAAAGAGCTCTGTGCCTCTCTTCTGCCTCCTTATCGTATGATCCACAGTGACATTTAGACACCCTGGAAGTACCATAATAACAGTGAGTTTTTTTTAATCTTGGGATGACATTGAAGACACTGCTGTCCTTTTGAAGCTCCTTCAGTTCAAGGGAGATGGGGGGCAGGGTATTGTTTAGCTTCAGTGGTCTGTGGGTGTGCAGCACCTCTTTGAAAAGATAATGAAGTCGGCTTGAGTAGCATAGTGGTGTCTTGTTTTAAAATTATTATTAAAGTTTAGTGACGCACACTGTTCCCTGCTACATTTGTAACGCCAGGTTTCTATTAAGAATCTAAGTAACAATTACTGTTTAAAGAGCAGTATGTTCTGACGTTACTGGTGAATTTTTCTTCTTGTGAAAAACAAGTATGAAAATGCACTCTTCAAAGCAGTGAAAATTCATAAACAAGAACTTTGGAATTCTAGGAATGGGTACATACAGTACTAAGCTGGTTTTTCATGAGTGCTATCAATATGAAACACTGAATACTCCGATACTGAAGTATCGCTGCTATTCATAGCTGCTATCAATGCTATTAAATGTTAAATGTGAAGGTTTTTCTGTTCCGCCACTTTGATTGATGCTCCACACAGTGTTCAGTAAGAACCTTTCAGTAATACAGGTGGAATACATACAAAGGAAATGTAACATTTAATGATATTTCTGAAATACATTGAGCATCAACACATTTAAATTCCACATCAGCTTCCCTCCACCTTTAAGAACCAGGTCAAACGCAAGGTATGTTACAGTATGCTGGTGATTATCCTCTTAGAATTTCAGCCTCAGGCCTTCTCCAATTTGTTATCCTCCATGAAGTTCCAGAAGCTAGAGGTTTTTTTATAACATGAGTTGACAATTCAAACGGCTGTATCATGGAAACCTGGCACTGTGGATTAATGGAATGTGCTACACTTACAAAGGAGACCAAGGGGAACATGTTGCCAAGATCAACCACTGTACAAACCAGAGGGTGCTGACATCACTGGTGTCCATCAGCTGCTCCTAAGTGCATTCCAATCTTATCAAGTCTGGTGGGCTTCAGTAATGTTTTTGTTCCCCTGTTGTGTTATTTTCTAGGTGGACATGTTCATTTGTGCAATATTTTCAGAATTCGGCTGATTGAATAATCCCACAAATAATGAGGGATGCCTATTCACATGTAAATAAAATGTAGAGAACACAGGGGAGTTATGTGGAATGATGATTCTACAGTGCTCTGTTGGTGTGAAACCTCACAGCTTAACTGTGCCAGGATACAGTAATCTGTTATCAAAACCCTCCACATCTAGCCTCGAACACCCCCCCCTCTCACGTGTCCAGTCAGTGCTCCAGCTTCGCAAATGAGATAAGTTTCCTGCACTAAAAATGTGTTAATCTGTTATGGATCCCTGAAGAGGCTTTCCCTAGCACAAACGGCAGTCTCTTCATCTGGTATGTGTGCAGAACAGAACAAATACAGTGTGACAGTGGTGACTGATCACATGTCTCCCCCTGCAGGACACTGCGGAGGACATCCAGTCACTAGACAGTTGTGAGTACATCTGGGAGGCTGGAGTAGGATTTGCTCAATCGCCACCGCTCAACTACATCCATGACCTCAACAGGTGAGCCAGACTAACCCAGAACGTACAGGCTGATGTGTGCTTGTTCTGTACTTTCCAAGGAATGAAATAACCCAACACCGCATCGTCCCCTTGTCTCCCAGGACAGAGTTGCTGAAGTTGCTACTGACCTGTTTCTCCGAGGCCATGTACCTCCCTCCTTCCTCCGAAAATAACATCCTGAACCCCTGGGTGACATTCTTCTGTTCCACAGATAACCGGTGAGTATCTCTCATAGACCAAGCATTCTGGAGGCCAAAGCAGATGGGCTTAAGGAAATATTGGCATCGCAAGTCAGACGGCAATGTTCAGTAGAATAGTGCTTAGGACTCATAATACAGAGTTCAACTCCCAGATCCTCGGAAAATGCCCTGGTGGGTACAGAAATAAAGCCAGTTTTGGAAAAACTAGCCATTTTATTAGCCATTCCATTCCACTAAGATACTGGTGTTCACCCAACCACTAGTCCTGCCAACTTAAATTGTATGTTTCTGCTGCCATCCTGTCCCTAGGCAGCCCATAACTGTGCATTTAGTCGTTTTGCTTCTATTGGCTGTTTTTTATTTGGTATCATCAACTATTGTTGCTATGGACACCTGCTTTGGAAAAGTGCCAATTAGTGCCCCTCTCCCAAGAGGGGTCGCTGTGTTACAGACAGTCAAGAGAGCCCTGGCCAACTAATCCTAGACAGCATGTCTGTACGGGCTGACGATTTGAACATTTCTGTAGTCATTTAGCTTTTGTAACACACCTGTTCTGCATGATCTTTTGACATTTCTTAAAATGCTTGTATAATGTTCTGCCTGCTAAAAAAAAGGTCTGAATGCTTTTTAAAGCTTTAATGACACCATGACAATTGAAACCATCATGTAAATAATAATGCAGTGGTTGTGCTCCGTATATTCAAGGAACATTACACTCTCTTCACAGTTTTTCAGCTTTTTCTTCGGTAATTCTTCTAAAACTTGGCTGCTGTAAGTTTGTGGAGTGTTTTCCCATTGTGTTTAGCAGGCAGATGAGTATTTAGTAGCTTGTCTTGGATTCCAATAGCTTGCATTATCTTTGACTGTGGTTTGGTATTGCTGCTCTGTACCCTGCTGTTCCTGTGGTCCACCACAGCAAGCCACACAGGGCTGAGCCATCTCCTCTGTTTCCCCAGCCACGCCCTGCCTCTCTTCACCTCCCTGCTCAACGTGGTCTGCGCCTACGACCCAGTGGGCTACGGCATCCCCTACAACCACCTGCTGTTCTCCGACTACCGCGAGCAGCTGGTGGAGCACGCCGTGCAAATCCTCATCGTCGCCCTGGAGCACGAGGGCGGCGTGGCGGCCAGCAGCCCCCCGCTCGAGGGGCCTAACTCCACCGCGGCCCTGGAGGACCAAGACGTAAGAGCTGGGGGTCTGGGCGCAGGGCCGTTATGTGGGCGCCCTCGCCTTCACAGAGTCATGCAGGGGTGCGGGGTAGCAGGCTAATAGGAGAACACAAGCAGCAGAAAGAGACTTAAACTCGAGAGGCTAGATGAAGGAAAGGAAGTTGAAGCTTTGTAGGTTACAAACATTCTCTTAAGGACCAATACTGGCATATCAGTACCCCGAAGACGCAGCTACAGCTGGACAGGTTTAACTTGTAGTATAGGAAAATAGACTGTGTGGAGTATTCCCTAGAGCAGGGGTTTTCAACCCATGGGGTGCGCCCCCTGGGGGGGGGCGAGATTACGAGACATTTAGGTGCAAACTGAAGAAGACTGAAACAAATCAATGAACATGTTGTTTCAGTCGTTAATAGCAATTCATTATTCATCCACTAGAGGGGGGTGTTGCAAACTGGCTCATGTCCCTGGGTAAGCAGGCTACCTGCCGTCTTTTCTCATTGGCTTAAGGGGTTGTAACAGTAGTCCTTTAGAAACATTGGAAGAATTTACAGCTCATATTAAACTACAAGGAAAGGATATTGTGAGTTGTGGATGTAATAACCAATTTTTGAGATCCCTGTTAAAAAATGATCATTTACTTGCGACTACAATATATTGGAATTCCGCATTTGGAAAGTGCATTGATTGGAGAAAAATTTGGATGATGCCCAATAAATATTGTATAACCAATAAAATTAAGGAGGTTTCATACAAAATAATTCATCGAATTATTTACCCAGTTAAGAATCTTGTTACCCATGGATCTAAAATTAATATAGATGACAAATGTGTTTTTTGTGACAATAGCCCTGAAACTATTCAGCATCTGTTTTGGTTATGTCCCAGGGTAACAATGTTCTGGACTAAGTTGCAGAATTATATTAAAAAAGAGACAAATATTGATATTGGTTTTGTTAAAAAAGTTATTATGTTAAGTTTCAGCCCCAGTGAAAACAATATAAACATTGCTTTTGTAATAAATTTAATTATTATATTGGCACGTTATCACATACATAAAATGAAGTGGTCTGGGAGGTACCCTGTGTTTGAGCATTTTAAAATGGAAGT